TATTCGTCATCTTCCCTACGGTTGTCGGTATTTGTGATACGAATCTAAGAGATTATAAATATTTGTCCAAATACATGATAGGTAAGAACGGTCTACTAGGCTATGTTATTTATTTTAACGAATACTCGTTCAAAATCAATACTTAAAATATTTAACTAAATATTTTTTGTTAAATTATTTGATTAAATAAATTTTCAATTGTATTATATTATTATACAGAGTGATTTTTTAACACTAGTCAATCAATTACCTGTTGTGCGGGCCCACGTGGTATAGGAATTAGACTTAATAAAAAAAACGAAAGCACTCACTTTACAATAAAAATGTAGAATATATAATTTGATTGGACAGTAAATAATACAATACAACGTTAATTATTAATATTAATAATACAAATGAATAGAATAATGAAATAGAATGACATAGAATGATGTAGCATAAAGTAGAATGAGTGTAACTAACACATACTAAACCACGACTGACTGTAAGGTACCTACAGTGGTAGTCCTAAATCCCTTGGTCAGCACATCCCTGTGTCCGACGACAGTCCGACGACCATGTATTCTATACTTTACTCAATTATAAAATAATATTCAGGGGCTCTAACATACCCTTAAAATATTGAGTTATTTGAAAATATTTTTTTTGGATTTTATTAGTTACATATGTGTTTCTATGTACCTGTTATAAAATAATTTTTAGTTCCATCCCTTATATCTTATAAATGTGTCAACTAATATTAGAAATATTAGAGCTTTATAAAATTAATAAGTTTTTTTGTAGCGAGTATTCAGCAACAATAAAAACATAGAAAATACAAAATAATTTTACAAATAGACCAGTAATGGGAACTCAGCTTAAGACTAGTTGTGCAGCTTCAAGCCCAAGCTTCAATATAGCGCTTGGAAAAAAATCTGCGTTCCGTTTATTTTAATATTATATTTATATAATTGTAGACATAATTATTATTTATTTTTAAATAACCCTATGCATTTTTATATTACTTGAACATGAATAAAACGAATTGCTCAGGGCTTTGGATATTTTGTTACGTCACTAAAATTATTTGACGCGGATACGATATATAAATGATATTAGTTGAAAACAATACAAGTATTTAGGAAAAGAAAAATGTTTAACTTAAATAGTAAATTTTAGGTTGCGCGTTATGTATTCCATAATCATTGTTTACTATTTAATAGATAAGATATAACTAATGAAGTAATTTTTTCTTCATTGAATCGTGAACGTCTACGTTCATATTTAAAAATAGTTTATTGTGGCATCATGTTTTATGTCGTTCACATTATAACTAGATACTTTACCTCAATTACTTATTTTTCATGACACGTATACCTAAATAGTACATAGGGATTACAATATATGCTTAAAAAAATACTTTTTATGGAAACCGTATAAGTAACAGTAGTTTTTTTAGTGTAATACAATGAGTGCAAAATTACTGATGCATATGTTGGACAATATTACTATAATATTATACTAATTGTGTGAAATATTATACCTCAACATATTCATTCTAAAGGAAGCTTCTAGGGGTTTTCCGGTGTTTACCTATGTGGGAGTTATACCTAAATAAAATGGTATAAATTTCCATCTAAAAGTATGACTTAACATACTTTCAATTGCAGCAGACGCAAGTTGAATTATCTATGTAACTGAATAAATACACGTTTACTAATAATAAAAACTGTTGTTAAAAGTCTAAGTTGTTAAATTAAAACAAAAGAATCATAGTTTTGTTTAAAACTTTTTAAATTTTTTATAGATTTTTATACTATTCGAAAATTATAAAAAAAATTTTTTTTATAATATTTTATGATAATCAAAAAATAATCTGATTTTCGCCTAAAAATAACCAGACAAAAAATCTCAAGAAGCAAATCGTTTCTCGTGATAATAGATAAATTACAAAAATTATATGATGAAGTGGAAAACTTAACGTAACTACGAAATGTTTTTCACTTTTCAAATTTATTTGTATAAATACAATTTAACGTTATAAAATCACTCACTTTCACTCTTTTTGTACATATTAACATGTATTATTGTTGTTATTATTGGTCATTGATTTCACAAAAGTGACAGGAAGTATATTTGTGAGTGTAAAGCATCTACAAGTGAATAAACATTTGTCCTAAACATTTTGAAAATCTTATGATAGTTTATAGTGATTCTTTAAAGTTTTATCCTTCCACGGACACCTGTAGATACATCGATTGAATGGGTATAATAGCAATTATTGATCGAAAGACTTAGAAACTTTCTAACTCTAATCCTATTTGATTATGCGCAGTAGTTTTTTTAATTATTGGACGTATACCAAAACAAAAGATTAGTGAAGTAGCATAATGTTTACAAACTGCTGTGTTTTATTGTAGTGTAGAAGATAATAAAAAAAAAATGATTTATTACCACTACGCAATGTTATTTTCTTCGAATGACTTAATCTCGAGTTAAATTAATTTCTCTATGATTAACTCTTTCTTTCTTTCATTAAGTTTTTTAGAAACATAATATCAATAATACTTGGCGTATGCGATAACGACAACGTTTAATCTATTAGTAATAAAAAATATGGAAAAACTGTACAAAAATTTATAATAATCCGTTAATATCGTGTTTCCGCTAGAAAAAATACCTTTATCTCGAAAAATTGAAGTGTAATTCCTTTAGAATTTAGATGACCTCTATTTGAATACCTAAAAACGCGTGAGGTAGCTGTTGTTGGTTTTATTATTGTCGATAAATGAGTACATGAAGTTTGAATAAATTTAACTACCTCCAGGTTTTTGTGTTTATTAGATCTTTACTATTTTTGTACTTCAAAATTTCTTATTGTTATCCTGTTATAATTTCTTGGTCTTTAAAAATTGAACTAAATCCTCAAAATACGATATGCGAAAAATATAGAGCGTAACACTTCAAATAAATTCTTGATTGTCTGTATCAAAATAATTCCTTAACTATGGAACTAATTTTTATTAAATGCGTAAGCTATCTATACTTATTGAATGGACTACGAACAATAATGAAGAATCAATCTTACGATATCTAAGATAATTAATTGAACAATCTTTATAGAACAGATCCTCCAAGGTTATTATTAATTTCACAATGACAAGTCTGTATCAGGAAACATTCTTTTGATTTTTTACCAGTGATATCGATCAGTAAGGCAATTGTGTCAACAAAAATTTCTATTGAAATCTGGGTTCTTTCAAAAATGTTATCAAGTAATATTTTTACTGTCAAACGAAATCAACAATAATAATAATAAATAAATATTTTAAATCAAAGTTATACTCAGTTAAATTATACTTATGTACATGAATACTGTTTACCTTCAATCTTACTTGAGGTGTAAATCCTCTATAAGCTCGTAAAATCATTACACAGTATTTTTGAAATTATTAATATTATCGTGTCATTTTATTGTGCATTATTTTAGCTGATTACATTTATGGGTCCATTTATTCATAAACAAATTAATGATAATGTGACGAATGACGTATTGTTCAAAATGTTACTCAGTAAAGTAATTAACACGATGTACATGACATTAACCTATAAATTTAGAATCAACGAATTGTCATTATTAACATGGTGATATTTTAACTGTACTATTTTAAATCAAATCAGCTGGTTTGGAAATATTTTCAGAAATATTGACTATTATTAAAATTTCTAGTTTAAAAAAAAATTTTATTAAAAAACTATAAAAATCATTTGAACATTTTAGTCCTTCAAATTTGAACGTAAATTGTGATTTTAATGTCGAGTAACTATTGATAGAAGTAATTAAATATTTTGGAGAAATATGTTGGTATAAAATGTGTTGTTAAAACAGTAATAAGCTTAATTTTTGTAAAATCATTCCTATTTTGTTACGCTAGTTAAATATACATTTCTTAATGAAAAAGTTACGAGTTGGTAAACTCGTAATATAAAACTCTTACATTAAAATAAGTAACTAAATTTTGACTTGTAATATTCATATCTATAACTAAGCAAATTATACTTTTTTGATTTAAAAGTTATAAAATCAGAAAATTCAAATTTACTTATCTGGCATATACCTTTACAGATTATTAACTATATATATTTTTTTAAATAATGACATGTATAATTACCTTGTTTAGAATTTGCTATAATCATAAAAATATCATGTTAGCTAGTTAACGTTTTTAAATTATTGTGTATTTATTTATCATAAAATGAACTACGAGAGTTATATTAAGTTCACTGATCACACATAATCAATATTTAATTTTTATGGTCTACATAAAATTATAATTAATTACATTGATAATTACACTGATATATTTTCGTGACAACGACTGTTTATCTAAAATTTGTCGACTCTCAAGAAGTGTTCTTATGTCATTAATATTTGATATTCAAATATTAAGAAAAATTGGTTTGCAGTAGCTTGATAGGATTCACTTATTCATTGACGATACTAAAAAAATGTTGGCAGACATGACTGCTAGTTAAAGTGTATATATATATACACATTCATAAGCTTAACTCTGCAGTTACAAGGCTTTCAGCATATTGATGCTGCACATATAAATGTATAGCGACTAGTCAGAAGCCAAAGAAATAATTAACCTAGTACAGTGTTCATACAATTAAAATATGTTCTAAATTTATACATAAGTATGTTGATTTGAAGATAATTACCAAATCAATATCATCAAAATGCTTTTGTTCTTTAAATAAGATTTTTTATGCGTCACTATAATATCAATATTTTGACAAAGAATGAGGCGACTGATGATCGAAAAAGCATTTTAGGATAACATATGATCATTTAAAAATTGCACTATCGCTTAAGTCAATGTAGGTCATTTTAACTGACACGGCTACATCTAAATCTGAACATTGATTTAAGTGTATCATAACAAATTTGAACTGTACACAAGGAATGGTTTAGATAGTTTATGTCAAAAATAATCTTGTAAAATAATATTGTTAAGAATCTTTGGTCGAACTCGAATGAAACTGTAAACAATGACATAAAACCAAGAAAAGCGGCTAATATAATTAAAGCCAACAATTATTACATCTCTTAGATGACAGAAAAACTAATGATGGCAGTGATAAATACTACACGGCGCTCCCTATATATTACTACCGTGGTCAAAACGTGTAATGGATTAATAGGAACTGCACAAGTACACCTATAAGGAACATGATGGTAATAAATGTAATAATGTGGTACACACACACATACTAGTTTTAGGGCATCAGCGGTTTTCGCGAGAGGAGGAGAGTTCGATGACTTTAAATATCATGCATTCGTACATATCGGCCGTCGTTGCCTCTCCGAGGTCTTTGCCACTTCGACGAGGCCTTCGAAAGGTTATACAATGTACCAGTGTCACTCCTACGTCGCCATCGAGTGGACAACGCCTCTTAGCAACACAGTCAAATTTAGTAATTTCCCAAGATTTTAGTGGAATTTCAGTCATTTACTTGTAATCCAATTTCAATTTATTTTTCTGAAAATTGTCGTTCCACAAGTTAAGCAGGAACGGTAACTTTATTAAAGAAGGAATCATGACATTCAATTTATGGATTACAAACTTTTATTTTGAAAAATTTGACACGACTTAAAGTTAAATTGTCAGATAATGATATTTTCTTTTGTTAATAATATTATAGAGCATAATATGGAAACCTTATTTATAACAAATAATAATATAAATAATAAAATAAGTATAATATATTTATTTAATATCCAGTAAATAAAAGGAGTCGTAGATTATCAATATGAGACCGGTACTTTTGATTATTAAGTTATCAAAAGTAGTCAATATTATTAATAAACTTGTTAAGCTTGAAATCAAGTACAATTATTAGTATAATTTTTCTTATTCTGTCTCAATTATAGCGTCATATTATAAATGACTAGGCAATCATACTGATTATAAAAAAATCGACAATCCAAATTAATTGTGGATATTATAGTATTTAAATTTTATTTGAGACGTCATTTAAATAAAGCTTTAATTCAGAAATATTTTTACATAACAATAATAATAACTTCTTTAAGTTTTATCGATTAAGTAACAAAAAAAATATGTATCGTCATAACGATATTATGAAGTACATTGTATTTTATTCTAGAAATTACAACTCAGATTAAATTCTTACAAGAACTTTTTTTAAAAAAAATTTCTTTATCATCCACTAAATAATTTTTAATTTATTTGAATTATTCCAGAATAATATTTAAAAATTAAAATGTTTCTTATATTTATACATACACACACACGCAAATATATATATATATATATATATATATATATGTATAATTATAATGTAAAAATCGTTTGATGTTTAAAAATCTCGTTAAGATTTTCACAAAAATAAAATAATTAGTCAAGTGTTATAGCAAAACATTTTAACAGTATTTTATTTTTTTATCACTTAAAGGTATAGTATTAAGTGATTTTTAATTATTTTTTAATTTTGTTTTTCAATGCCAATGTCATAAGCTTATTACTAATTTATACGTGATCGGTGGTTCAGTAAAAAAAATAGTCAATATTATTGCATTCTCTGTTTTATTTTTCAAATAATTATTTGACTTAAAAATTAGTATTAACAAATAATTAAAATATAAATAAATATTCATTAATTTACTGATTATGTTACATTATTTAATCTGTTAATTTAAAAAATATATATGTGTTATATGAATATTTTACGAACGTTATGCTCGTAATAGCTCACAAATTCGTCAATTAAACTTAAGTCATAATAGATGTAAACTTTTTCGAAAATACATTCTTAAAACTTGAATTTTCATTTAGATAAGTATTAGAGATTACTTTAAAAAAAATTTTTTTTTGCAATTAAAACTCGTTCCTCACATGAATACATCAATTAGAAAAGAAGATAATAAGCATTAATTTTAGTTTTTAAATTTTAAAATCATCATTCATTAATATACGTTCGGTTATGTTAGACTGCTATCGAAAAACTGAGATTTTGCGATTCGACATAGTAAGAGTAGGTTTGTTTGGTTTGGGATATCATGTAAAATAACGTTAAATTTTGTGATCTTAAAAAACATCGTACATTCCGAGTTTTTGTATAGATAAAAACTGAAAATTTTGTTAAGTCAGAGCATAACAATTAAATCGATTTTTTCACTGATAATTTACAATAAAGAAAGTAATAGCAACGAATTTTTATTTAGACTACAATAAAAAGTAACGGTTTTAATACTATGATTGTTGTTTTTGTGTTTTAGATTTGTTGTGATACAAAGACACTGCACTGTGTGGACGCCTGTAATGCATCGTGTATGATGACTACAGAAACGGCGTTGAGTCCCATGACCCACGGAGGAGGAGTCGGTAAAATCAAACGACCTAGTCTCAAGTCCCGAGGTGGTACGGGTTCTCATTATCACCATGGTACCAATGGAATTCGCGGTTATCGGGCCGTCCGGGTGACGGTTCCATCCACTGTGGTTGCTGAATTGGCATCTAAGTTCAATGCTGTCGTAGTGGATACGGATCAAGGAGACACAGCTCGAGATATTATAAAACGAGTAAACAAGACTCTAGCCAGTGGCGCGGCGGTACGAGCAACGGTTGAAAAATTTGAATCTGTTGAGAAGAAACACAACCGAATGGTAGTGGTTCGGACCAACTCAGAACGCCGAAGAACTGCAGAGCAACGACGAGCTGCCGAACAGCAGCGATCTTTAGTTAAGCGTCGCATGGAAATATTTCAAAAGACTGATAAGCCACCAAAGCCCGACGTTATATTGCCTAAGCCAAACTTGCGGAATCTAGAGAAGAGGCATCAACCACCCAAAGACGTCACATTACCCGTATCGGAAGGTCCTTTACTGGTCAAACATAAACGGCTGTCGATAGCCAAAGATCCTGACGCTCAGTTGGAAAGTGTTCTTAATGTTATACCTCAACTTATGACGTCCAAACCTAATAGTTCGTTTTTACATAACCGAAAATGGTCGATTGACTCCGGCGTGACTACCGAACTACAACAAACACCTAGTACACTTAATGCTGAATCAAACGAGACATCTTCTTCAATTATCTCTGTAATAACACCCTTGACTTCCAACGAAAATGAAAAAGAAAGCCAAAAGATCGACGAACCAACTGAAAAAGAAGAAGAATTACCCATTCCACAGATAGTAAATAGCTTTTTGCATAGCTATAAAAATAAATTAATTGCTTCTGGAAAACAAAACGACTACAATTATATTGGTGAGACACAAGCTATTTACGAAGAATTATGTGATATGTTGGTAGGCAAAACTGAACCAAGGCCTTCATTGCCGGACGTTGTTTTGGAAAGTTCCTATTACGAGATGGGAGATCATCATTACACGACAATTGACGGCAGTGAACAGAATATATACGACGACGTGATCACCGCCTCGAACCTTAACCGAAGTAGTGGAAAAACTCAACAAGAGGATAGCTACGAAACGGTTGAAGCACCACCACCACAGCCCTCGGGGCAACCGTTCGTTTTGATACCAACCGCAACAAACCACCATTCCAATGTACAGCAACTCCTACAACAGGACAAGAAAGAATTATCTGACAGTTCCTTAGAAATTGATAACAGTATCTACGGCCTAAATCCACCTTCGGAAAGCACTTCATCTGGTATGTGTCTTGTTTATTCCACAAATTCGACATAATAAATACTTAATAATCCGGTAAAACGCGTTTTCATTCTTCAGTTAGCAATAAAAAAAAATCTGTATAATTACTAGTCAGGTATATTAGTTTTACATGAAAAAAATTACTCAATAACAAATTTAATAAGGGTTGTAGTTTTTTTAGATAGTAAAAAATAATTAATATTTTATTTTTTACGTGATTTAATAAGAGATATTAAAAAAATTGAGCTCTAGTGACCATGAAAATGTAATTTTTAGTTACTGAACAGTTTATTTAATATTCTAAACCTAATATAAATTTCTATAAAACGGTGAAATTTGTATAAGATTTTAAAATAAGGAGCGTCAAAATTGCTTATAAATTACTGATAATAATTTTATAACGAGTTATTAAAATTAAATTAAATTTGTTTATTGCGTTTCAATTGCGAAGGCATCACATCCGTACAAGTTATGATTGCGAATATTGTAACATTGTCATATCTTCATTGTAGATTCTATACAATATATATACAATTATGCTTTACAATATAAAAATACATACACATCAGTAAACTAAGTTCATTAATGATAAAAGCAAACGTGATGTAATATCAAATATACTATTACAATTCGTATTTCAATGCAACAGTATTTATTTTTGTTTTTAACTGTGTATAATTGGAATAGATATAATAATTATAAAATAATCATACTGTAAATTTTCTAATTCAGCTATAGTTATATATTTTAGTTATAATGCCATAAATAGTATATCATTTTATAAATATTATGTTAACATTTTACAATTTTCAATCTGGCTACTTGTGCCTTAGATATACTTAAATCTCTTTCGTTTTTATTGGCATTTACACAAATATATTTATAGGTGTTACTTCAGCGGATAGCGCAAGTGGTGGCAGAAACAGTAAATTTGATTTGGACGAAGAGTGGGTCGATGTAGACAATAACTCTGACGAACTTCAAGAAATTATACTGTAAGTTTAAACAATTTTACACCTAAACAAAATCTATTAGGAACTTTTTAACATAATTCTAGGGAAAACAATGATTTTCAAAAAAATTCAAATACATAAAAGACATATGATAGTGAGTTAACTATAAATCACACATGTGATTAACTGTACAATTACACGGTTAAATACAAATAAGGGCATAGCATTATTTGTTATGATTGAATAAACACATTAAGAAATAACACCATAAAATCTATAGAACTCCTATGAGACAACTGAAGAAAAGCATAGAAATGTGAAGAAGTTTTTAATATGTTAAACTTAATGTCTCTATATACTTTTACTTTGTTTATTAGGAAATTTGTGTAAATTAATGTGATTTTTTATTGATTAGGTTTCGAGAAAAACCAAAGGTTAACGAAAAAATTACTAGTGGATGGTCTATACAAGTGAGGAAACAATTGAACAAACTATATGGTAAGCATCATTAGTTACTGCTCAGTCATGTTATATATTTTCTACGCCTTACTATTTGGATCCCGGTAAAATAATATACGTCCAAGCATTTTAAGTTACCAACATTACGTAATTAAAAAATTTAGTAAATCATAATTATAAGTTTTTCGAAATTCAGAATCATAATTAGGGCTATGATTATATGCGTTTATAAGTTTTGTTGAGTCATTTTGAAGAATCTTAAGTTTGTGCAATTTTGTTATAGCATTATGTAGTAACGTAGAAATATATTTATAAAGGGGATAGTTCCCTTATAATCTTCTAAACTATGACTTGGCTAACAACACATTACTAAGCTTTCACAATAATTAATAATAATTTGTTAAATAACTTAACAAAATCAAAAAATGCATATAACTCGTAGACCTACTCATAATTAATGGAGAACAGAAATTCTATTACTTAAGATTGTTCAATTAAAGTGCTTCATATCAAATTTTATCTTCCAAATGTTATGACTAATTCCTGAACTGTCAAAATTACATACATTGCATCATTATAAGTGTTATTGTAATTGAAATCAGTATAAAACCAAAAAATGAGTTTATTTTTAAATGTTTCTTCTAGCGATGTTCATGTTTACAAAATTTTAATTTATCTTCTGAGATTATTATGATTATTTTAATATATTCGGTACAATAGAGTATCAACTCGTTCGACGAATCTTTAATAAGTTTTCAATGTAGTTTATTTGATATGCACCTTTTGTAATTTATTAACTAGAATTTTAACTTTTGTTTTTTTTTCTTAAGATATTTAACTAAAAAAAAAAATTACTTAATCTTTATCTCGAAACTGGTTTTCATTAAATTTTAATTATAAAAGAATGTAAAAAAAAGCTGTCAAGGCTAATATCAAATCCAATTCTAGGCGGTCATGGCGAAGTCATGTATATAACTATCGTAACAACTGTAGATGTATACTTGATATATTCTGCCGGCGTATTTCATTTTAATGTAAAATATTAAGAACAATAATACTGTTAACAAAATAAAATGTTATGATAAAAATAATAAGATAATTATAAAAAATAATGGTTGTAAGCAATTACTTAATTTTATAAGACTTATTTTAAATAGAAAAAAGTAATTAGTGAGTTTGAATTTCAATATTTTTTTCTAGTTAAAATTTTATTATAAAATACATTTTGTAAACATTTAAAAACTATCAGAAATTATTAAAGAACTAATAATTGTTTTAGTGAAAGGATAAAACCTATATGATAAACATACAATAAGACTTATAATACAGTAATTATTATTAGAATTTATTCATCATGCGTAGAATTTGGTTCCCATGTAGAAACAATATAGCTTTTTCTATATAATTAGCCTACTCTCAGTAGTAAAATTTCATTGAAAACACGAAGCCTTATGTTTTATATTTACAAATAAATTATGTTTAATTCGACCTCAAAGCGATCAAGTCTGTAAATTTAAACCAGTTATGTTTTTTAACCCTACATTTTCAGTTTGTCCCCTAAACTAAGGACTATTTTTCTTTTCATTAAATTCTACTGTTTTTTTTTAAATATTTGAATTTCTTTATTTTAGTCATTAAAACTAAAAAGTTTTACTAATTTAACTTGTTCCTCGTATCATATGACCTCTTGTATCATACAACTATATTAAAAAAGAGCGACTTCAGCGAATCTCATGGAGTTGAAGAGTTTTTGTGATAGTAAAAGGGAAGAAGAGTTAGACACCTTATATTTAATATACTCTGTCATTGGATTACCGAATAAAAACTACTTAAATTAATTGTCACAAATACTTCAATAATATTGCCGTGTTATAAAAACTGCACATTTTCATGCATGTCAAGAGCCATCATTTCGGAGTATTATATGGATATTTGTGCAGTGATATTAAATTAATTTTTAATGTTAAATTTAGTACGTTAATTTAATGATAAGTTTGCAATATTATGTAGATATGAACTTTTGGTTCACAGAACGTTTATTTAATGTCTGACAATCAAATATTTATGTTTTATTAATATTGCACATTACTTTTGTAACATTAATTTATCATTGCAGAAATATTTCTATATTATCTGAGACCTAAACTATAAATTATTATATTGTTTAAATTTTGGACAAATACTGACAGCGTTTTTAACATGTGAACTAATATCATTGATTCACAATTTTAAAATTTAAACTCGACCTATTGTATTATTATTGGTCTGGTAATAATACTAAAGCAATCAAAAGCTGCGATACTGACAATTTAGTAAATTGGCCGACTTTGAGAATCGGCAGCGTGTGTTTTTGTAAATCACGGAACTTGGTCGAGTGCACTCGTAAGGAGAGTTTTTCGGGACCGTCCTGAAATTATAGCGTTTAACTCTGTTACATTAAAAACTATTAACTACAGCTGTATGAACATCATAATGGCAACGACATGAAACGAAATTTATGTAACTATTGTCGGTGGAAGATTACACTGCGATTGTGTTTTGCCGGCGCTGTTCTGCGTGGGTCGGTTGGTAATTGTTGAGCGTAGGGAACAAAATTACAATAATAACAACACAAAACCAGTTTACCGTGTGCGCCCTCCCGCCGCAGTCGTGCCGGCGCAACGTTACTCTTAGGCGTTGACGTCGTGTAAGTTCTCCTACTCGGTGATGTATACTCCCACCCGATACTGAAAATTCATAACACCAAGGTCCTGCAGAACCGCGGTTCAGCCCGTGGTACGTTGGTAATCGAAAAGTGAAAGTGCGGCGCAACAGACGTCGTGTAACACAGCCGATCGTTGTGTTACCGTGTAGACATAACAGCAAATGTTCGCGATCCAGTTTTAGTTTTTAGTTTATTTTACAAAAGTCATGATTATTGTTCAAGAGCTCGTTGTGTAGTGACGAAAATGAGTGATTTATACGGCGAGGAATCGATTTTCCGAATCGCCGTCTGTCATGCCATCGTCCTCTTTCTATTGTAATTCGCCGTTGTCGCTACCTCCGCCGTTGCCGCCAACTAGAACTCTTAGACGTCGGAAATCCACGTTTATCGATAAAGGTTTGAATAAGGTCTTACATAACGCGCACGTATAATTACTACATTTGAGTACACTGTTTTGATCTCAGAATCAACAATAGTATAGAAGAAACCCGATTGTGCGTTAATCGAAATTATACGAAACCTAAGGAAGATAATAGTATTATTCAGTTTACCGAATGTCTATTTTGAATCGTTAAAATCTATACGCTTAAAAACTGGGAACAAGAACAATGATAAAAGCTTCTTGCGTTATTATTGTTATACATATTTGTACAGCAACGGTTTAAACGACGTGTGTTCAACTTGTTAAAAAAAAACTGTTGAACAATATATTTTTTTTATTTTTATAATTATTACGACACATCAAATTTATTTTAATTATGTTATATTATTGATTCCTTGGTAGATTACGAATAAATTTGTTTACCACAATGAAATTCCAATAATCAACCAATTGAATTAACGGTATTAAAATCCTATGAAAATGTATGGTTAAAGTAAAATCACCTATAAAACGTAATAATCGGATAATTACGTAAATACATTAAATGTTCGTCTGGTGTCTAAGAGTCTGTGAAAAGGAAAGCTTAATAAAACTCAAAATGGTCAAGTGGCGGAACGAGGTATCTTGATGAAACTCGGACAAACACTTCGACCAAAATAACCCACGTGTAACAAATGTAGTAATTACTTGTTGTGAGCGTATGTACGAATGGTTTAACTATCCATTGAATTAAACTTTTCTGCATTTACGACCGTTAACATATGAAAATTTATGTGCGTTTCCGTAGTTTCCATCTCGTCTCAATCTGTAATAAGCTTCGTTAAAGATATCCCCCAACAAGGTAAACAATTATTACACCAACCAATTGGTGATATCGATAGACAATTAAGTGTAGTATTCAAGACTGTATTTTTGGGCGATACCTTTGAGTCACAAGAACTTTCTTTGTTTTTTGACAATGGTAAGTTGTAAACCAAATTTATGCAGCGCGAAATTACTAATGTAATAATGTTAATGTATAATGTTAATAACGACACATAGAAATTTGTTTTATTATTACCATTATTTTTTTCACGTGAATTATTAAATTCGGTATTATATTTTACTGTTTTGTTTGTTTTAATAGAAACAAAAGATAAGACCAACACTATAAACCAAGAAATACCCGAGGAAATCTATGCAGACTACGATTCGTTTGAATCGGATGATTCGTGGGATGATTGCAAGGACACGGAAAAAACCAAACGAATTCCTTACCCATGCGAAAACCGCGATTTACCCGAACCTCCAAACCAGCAGAATATCTACGGTTTGGTTCCATTGGTAAAAAAAGCTGGCAATCGTATGAAGAAAAGATGGTCGTTGGGATCCTTGGGACTGAATCGGATTCGAAAACTTAGTATAAGCAATATGGCATCCGTTTACCCCGGTATGAAACTTTCTTTGTGACAACTAATTAAACTTAATGCGATCTGTTTCTTTCTAGGTGCCAAAATCTTTGACAACTTGTCAGATAAATCTAATGAAAAAAAATATGGCTCATCCGGTACACTCATATCAAAAACTACTAACGGAGTATCTTCGTCCATATTCTACCTTAATAATACACCAGTGTATAGCAATGTGTACGTTTTTTTAATTTATACAATAGTTTTTATAAAACTTAACTGATACATTTTTAATTTATTACAGGGAAAACAACGGACAAATACAAGCACCTATTAGAAATACTAGTAAGCCACCATCGTCAATTGATTCCCGAAGGCTTAGTGTAGCAAGACCTAGCTCACCACCTCCACCACCACCAGTAAAAAAACATTCTTTGGGTAAAAAAAATTATGTACAAAATTTTTTAAGAACTCCATAATATTTAAATAAATTTTTCTAACTAAATTGTATTCAATTGACTTTTGTTTAGATGATAACAATTATAGTTCACTTCCTCGTTCAATAGTTAATTCTAAAGGACGGCCGTCAATACAGTTAGATAAATCGAACACTGAATCTACATCGGAAAATAGTAAGTTTTATTTCGAGTAAAATAAAATAAAATTTTATTTTGAAATATATTTTAATTCGTGACTTGTTATTAGGCTCCAACCAGGGATCAGAACTGTACATGCGTTTTGCTGATGAACCTCTGTATCAATTTTACGCTGCAGATTTATCTCAGGTAAATATAACTTAATAAATAAAAAAATTGTAATCGAGTGACATTATTTTGTAGCTTAAAAGTATAATGTCTTATTGTTTTAGAGATCAAAAAGTGTATTTGCAGGAGATTTAATGGAAGATTGCGATGGATATGAAGAAATAAGCTCAGTAACTAGCAGGCCTTCAGCATTAGAATTAATTACCCCATGTCAGACTGGTCACGGTCAACATAGATCTTTGTGGTGCGAAGTTCCAGAAGTTAAGAATAGTGGCATTTTAGGTAATCTACATAAAAATGAAAAAAAAATACTACTGTGTACTAATTTGTTTATCTTACTCATTTAGACACATTAACACCTCGAGAACGGAAACTACAAGAAGCTAAATTTGAGTTGATTACTTCTGAAGCTTCTTATTTTAAATCTTTGACCGTACTCGAAAAACATTTTGTGAATAGTCATTCTATGAATGATGAAACAATTGTTTGTAAAAATGATCGTAAGATCCTTTTTGGTAATGTTAATCCAGGTATAAATTACAAAGCATCCAAATACTCTACATGTTCTATTTTCTATAAAATATTCTAAAAATAACTATTTTTTTTTTAGTGCGAAAATGTTCTGAAAAATTATTAGCGGCACTTGAAAAATGTTGGCAAGATAACATTCTCCTTCGGGGGCTATGCGAAATTTTGTATACCCATTCCAAAGATAATTTTGATATTTTTGTTAAATACTGCTCAAATCAAATATACATAGATCGTACGTTAAAGAAATTAAGGTAGATAATAATAAAAAATAATGCCACATTATTACTAAAATACGTTATTTAAAATCATTATCATTTACAGAGAAAAAAATTTTAAGTTTAACGAAGCTCTACAAAGACTGGAAACCGACCCTAAGTGCCAATCTCTATCCCTTCATTCGTTCCTAATGTTACCCATGCAAAGAATTACTAGGCTTCCACTGCTTGTGGACGCCATTCTGTCACAGATGAATCCAGCGGACAACCCTACTGAATATCAAATGTGTGAACTCACTTTGGCCTCCTTAAATGCGGTATGTTAATTCTATAAAACTAATTTATTATACCACGCACTTTTGACTCGTACGATGTAATAATCATTCAAAATGAATTACATATAACTTAGTACAACATTTGTATACTCGAATAAAAATGTTTCTATAACATTACTTTCATTTACTTGCATTATAAATACTTTTTATTATTGTTCCAAAACTTTATTACTCATGTCAATTTATTAACAAGTTTGTATTTTTTAAGGTCGTACAAAATTGTAACGAGAGCACTAGAAAATTAGAAAGATATGAAGAAATGTTATTGTTAAGTCAACAATTAGAGTTTTCAAGCAAAAAAGATATTAAAGCAATGTCAGTGGCCTCCAGCTCACGTTGGTTAGTGCGATCTGGTTCAATGTTACATTTGACTAGTCCAGACGCAAAAATGACATTCAGCCGGAAGCTCATTAGACCCACAAAGCTCTATTTCTTTTTATTTAACGATATGTTTTTCATTGCAAAACGTAAAAGGTAAGTTGGCCACCATTTTAAAATTCTCACAATGTATTCTACACAATGTAATACTATTCTGCATTTTATCCTTTTTTAGTGACGAAAACTATACAGTGATCGATTACTGCGCAAGGAATTTTGTGCAAATGACTGATGCCACAGAACTTGTGATTACTTCTTCGTGCAAAAATCTTTTAATGTTAACAATTTTAGAAAACCACGAGGGGAAAACTATTGAAATGGTAACTTATTTAAGATTTACTTAAAAAAAAGAACTAACTTTTTTTTTTAGCTAATGAGCTGTGATTCTGAATCATCAAAGAAACGTTGGATTGAAGCTATGTCACCTCCTATCAGCTCAAACCCCGACGAAACCCTATATAACGAATGGGATTGTCCTCAGGTATATGCAGAACATGCGTACATGGCCGTTCAACCTGACGAATTATCATTACAAAATGGTGATATAGTTAAAGTTTTAACAAAAATGAATGACGGTAAGTACTTTTTTTTTTAAGAAAATCATATTGTACTTTTAAAATAAATTATTCATTAATAAATTTCAGGATGGTACCACGGTGAAAGAATTCGAGATGGCGAAAAGGGCTGGTTTCCCGGAAACTATACGTCAGAAATAGCATCTCAACATGCAAGAGCAAAAAATTTAAAACAGCGTTACCGCCTTTTAGCCATGTCTGGTAGTTACCTTCAGTCGCGACAAGAAAAAACAAAGAAAAAGTAATCGTGATATTCCATTGATTTTTTCTTCTCTGAAACTGTATGAACTATTATCATACATTCCATATAATACTTTAGGATTTTTATAATGAATTATTTTATAATATTTATACAGAAAAATTATATTTTAATTGATTTTATTTTAATAAAAATCAAATGCATAGTTAATTATAATTTACTATTTATGTTGCATATATATTATTATAACCATATGATTAGAATATAACTTTATAATAAAATATGTGACATGGTCGTTCATTGACTTTAGACATCATTATTAAAACAATAAATTTAAAACTTCAACAAATAATTAATCTAGTTTTTAATTTGTTTTTAATAAAACACGCATTGATGTATATAATTTGTTACGCCATAAGTTTATTATTATCACTACATGTACCTTCTCTATAAATATTAGTTGACTAGCCTCGCTCATTTTGATGATTCATATACTTCATTTTTTTTTTCTCAATTGTACATAATTATTGTTCATGATTATATATATATTGTTATAGTATTTTATAACACTACTACTTACTATTTAATTAAAAATTAATGTAAAAATTACTATTATTTATTATTTTATGTGTTAAATTTTTATTATATTCGTTTTAACTATTATTTTATGAGTTCTCTATTTAAATAAACAAATTAATCTTTATTAAAATGAAAGCTTTTGGTCAAAGATATTACTTGACTTAAAAAAAAATGGTTAATAATTTTGAAAATTATACAATAATGTTGAAAAACCTAATGTAAATAACCACTTGAAATAAACAAATTTTTCAACATTTTTATAAAAAAAAAAATTTGAATTTAATAATTCTAATAGTTCTCGTTTTAAACCTTATTATATTGGACTTCTAATTTACAAGTTATAAATTCTGAAAACTCTAAAAATGTTTTATAATATTATAACAGTTACATTCTAAATGCCTGACTGAGCAATCGGAATGTTTTTTTAATAATTTAGATATTTATTATTACGATTTTATAGAATTAGGTTAATATGGCTTTGTTGATAACTTTACAAATATTGAGATAAGAATATAATATAATTGGGAATATAAGGGTGAGCTTTTACGATCATACGTAGTATTTTTAAGAATTATAAACCTAAAATAATTTATTAATATTAAATTTTTAAATTAAAAAATAAATATTGATAAACTAGACAAAATTATAATTATTTTGAAAAGATTATTTGTGGTCAACAATAAATCAATCACCATCTAGATATACATAACATTTTTTTATTTGATAAAAATTGACCACTTGGGGCTAATATTATTTAAGTTAAAATTACACTTAAAATATTGTTGGCGTAGATAGAAATTTTGCTAGAGAAGGGAATGCTAAGATTCTTTTTTCTTTGGCTTTACCTATCTTTACTAGAGCCTCTTTGGTGTTTCGCGTAATTATTAAACAATAAATAAAAACACCAATTTACGTAAAAAAGAGAAAAATGGTAGACGGTTTATTATTTAAAAACTTTTAGAAAATTTACAATATATGCACGCACTACGTGTACTAACTGTCTACTTGTGGCGAACTAACCTATGACTGACTGGTTGATTGACTGATGTGGCACCGCTTTATAGTGTATAGTGTTCTAGAATATTCTTTTATGGGGCGACCGAGAACATTTGCGCTATATACATTTTGTGTTGCCTATCTGTCGCTAAGATTCTCGATCGTTCCATGATCGTACACCTCCTTAAAATAAAAAAAAATATTTACCAAAAATAGAAAACATAGTAAAAAATATCATTTTTCCATCCGAAATTTATTCAAAATTTTAAAAAATACTAATGCACAGAAATTTTTTTGATGAACAAAAAATAAAAAATGAAATTTATAAAATAATACCCCTTAAAAAAAACTTATGATCAAACATAATGAAATTAATAAATGTGATGTATGATTATGATTTATTTTAATATTAAAAAATATCGAATGCTAAATGTATGATCACGTTTCTATAAATGTTTAATATTTTAATTTATATTTTCTAAAAATTATACAAATATGATATAACTTAAATGTTCAATATAGTACATTATTATTCTAACATTACGTAATCTTATCATTCCATTCACCCTCCTCTCATTCGTAAAGGTCTCAACTGATACTTGTAGTCACTACCTCAGTTGCTATACGACAGGCGTTACTCATGAGCTATAGAACACTAATGATGCAAAAAACAATAATATAATACTAAATAAGTGTTGCTATAAATAGTAGTGATTGAAATTTTCGTAGGATTTATATTAACGTGGGAAAGTAGCACATAGCCAATGGGCAATCGAGAAGAAAAAAAACCTTTACTGGTAGGAAACAAAAATGGAGAACCTTCATCAAAGCCCTATTACTTGAGCCTTGTAAGTAAAAATTGATTTAAAAATAAAATGGGTAGCTTATTTATATATATATATATTTATAAATTAACTAAACGATTTACCCTTAAAATATATCTTATTATATAATAGAACAAAGAAAACGCTTTTCTGGGAAAATTACTTAGCATGTTCGTAGTATTTAATAGCTATAGTTATAAAATGTTCTGAAAATAATTTGATATTTTAATTTTAACATGTTTCTTAGTAATAAACACAAACATATACAGAAAAATCAAAGTATTTTTTAAAAATTTATATAGATTATTAGCTTTAATTTGAAATTTTTCAATGATTATTAATTTTTGAAATGATTTTTTTAGATATGGAACAAGAGTTACGTTTTTTTTTATTTGTATTTAGCTAATTATATTTAAAGTATCTTAAGAATATAACCAGTTTATCGAGAAGTTATCGTAAGAATCGTAAATTAACGAGAGTACAAGACTTCTATCCCCCAAACACACAGATTTTTATTCATTACATAATAATTATAATGTGATTCAATTACATATTATTTTTAAATTTACCATCTCTAAAATAAATGTACATCTGGAGGTGCAAAAATTATTCATAACAGTTTTAGCCATGGAAACTATTTCTATATTCTTGAGCTAGAAATGCGTGACCTCCCGCGGAATTAATTTGAAAATCCTTTTTTTTCTTGCAAATAGTACTATAGAAAGATTCTGACCAAGAAATATCAGGCCATCAAAAAAAAAGTATTATAAATTTTGTGTGAATTTAAAAAAAATGTTCAATCTTCCTAACACAAAAAAATTGTTAAAAAAGTTGCAAAATAAAAAAAAAAATTGTTGGAACTTCTTTTTAGTAGTTTTGCATAATTTGATAAAATAATAAAAAATTTCTAAAGCTTTATTACATTTTCTTATCAATAATTTTTTTGGGTAGCATCATAATTTGATTGGATTTGAATAATGTTATTTTTTTACAATTAAACTAAAAGTAATAGTTTGTCAAATATTCAAGCAAAAGTGAAATATTTGTTTGACGAGCAAAAAAAAAAAAGTTCAAAATATTTGAAATATTAAGAGGGCGAAAATAATTTTTTCCTCCTGTGTATTGACTTTTAATGTGCATTTGATATGTATATTGATTATGATAACATAACACATATCATATTAAAACATTACCTAATTTTTTATTAATTATTTGGTATAAGCTTAAAAATAAACAAAAAATATATATATTAGTTCCCTTTTCATACACTATAGAAATCCGACTTGTTCCTTCAAATAAGTTATTTGGAGTGTTATTTTAATAACGCTTATAGTTTTTAGAATTTTGTTAGTAACAGTTGCCGAAAAATCTATTTTACATTGACAAAAATCAAATTGAAATAAAAAGTTTGGTAGCTATGATTGTACGTTTTACGTTGGTTTTTTGATTAGTGCCACGAAAAATCCTAAGAGGTACAAAAACATCTCCTTTGCAAACTCTTCTGGGCATTTTTGGACCAAAAAATACAAATATCTCTCACTTTATAAATATTTATATCAATGGCATCAATAGGATTTCGTTTTGGTATATACGCAAGACATTTTTTCACGATTTATACTTGATAGAAAATATGATAACATGAGTTACCTTAGGAAGCACATTGCTCATCTTTTTATCTATATTGTTGGATATATATTTTTTTTAAAGTTATATTATTGTGGTAATTAATGAATTTTTAGGTTTAATCAATTGATAAACAGTTTATCATGAAAAATTAAAAATAATTCAAAATATCTAATGTCTCGATAAGGGCTATCAGATCTTATCATTATTTTATTTAAAATGAAACACAAATTAATAACTTTTGAATACAAAAAAAAACTGAAGAAAATTTAATTGGTTAAATCACAAAATTCTTGGTTTCATAATTGTGCAATTACACATTGGAGACAAGATTTTTATGTAAAATTTATATAGAATCTCTAAAAAGTTAGGAAACAGATCAATTGTTACAGACAATGAGAATAATACAAACCCGTTTCCTTACTTACTGAACATTTTATATGTGTACATTTTAATAGCTTATCCAAAACAAATGCCAAAATGGGATCATCTGATTAAATAACCTATCTACCAATGAAGCTATCTAACTTTCTTATATTTAATTATAACAATTGGAATCTATTTCAGAAATGGTACTGAATAACCTAATATCAAATATTGATATCACTTACCGCCTTCATTAAATTCATTGTATGTCAGTAAAAATAATGTCTGCATATTATTTTATTTTGGCATAACATCCAGTATGATTTTCTATTTGGTCTAATAAAAAAAACAATGTATTAGTCTTACTATATTATACATATAACAAAAATAAGCTAACTTTAATATCAAATAACTGATATATTGGCGAGTTTGACAAGATTGTTTGTAATTTATACAATATATTCACATATTTATTCTAATGCGGAGTAAACATCTTCGATCAAAGTACAATATAAAATTAATTGAATATTGTATTAAAATATTTAAACAATTTTAGTTTAAATAAAACAAAGAATTTAGCTTAGACGCCACAGAATTATGTTGATGTTTGTTCATAATAGCGCAATGAACTTAAAACGATAGATAAAAGAACCTTTGTTAACCTCTCGAATTGGTTCATGTTAATACAAATATACAAATTTATTTTTAATTATATTGTTAATCAATATCTAGGAATTGAAAATAATATTTTTTGAAAAATTACATTTTATTTGATAAATCAAACAATTTTGTCTGAATTAATATACAGATAACTTTCAACTATTTGGAGCTCAAAACATTGTAACAGTAAAAACATTTCTTGCACTTGGCCTTCCAACGGGTAATTAAAACGTAAAGCAGAAAAGAGTTCCTTGTGTTAATAAAATATTTTAACTTCTAACACCAGCAAAACAGATCAAAATAGTTAAGTTCGACTACACTAGATACAGAATATTCCTGAAACATACTTGTGGCAAATTGATTGATATACAGAGTGATCCATTTAGCATACATTTTTTTAGTTACATATTTTTCTCAAATTTGTGACCAATTAATTTTTAAAAAACTTATAGTTTTAATTTTTTTAATTGATAAAAATGTTTTATTTTTATTCTATTGCATTGGAAATTTTTATTTAACTTAATTCGATTATCAGTTATAACAATTTAAAGTTTCGATTTTTGGAGTTAAAATATATGTATATTCTCCGAGATATTTATAAATTGCTTCTTTAAAGTATTGCTATTTACAGATATGATGGAATTATTGCCAATTACAGCACTATTAAATGATAACGACAATGAACACTGGGTAATTATGAATCGACCCGTCATAAACGGATCAATTAGCAACCAGTTAGTAAAATCCCTCATATGTTATAGATTTATTTTAACTCAAAAATAAAAAACTTTAAAGTGTTATATCTAATAAACGATTGAAGTTATATCAAAAATTCAAAATCCATTTACTATTAAAAAAACCTGAATACATTTTATTAAATGCAAAATATTTATTCATTTTTGAAAAAATAAAATTGACACCTTTACAAGACATTGGAACGAACTAAAAATGTATTACATTGTTAATAATTCAAGAACAATTTGTAACTAAAAATTACCTAAAAAAAATTTCAAGATTATTTATATTCTGTGATTAATTGAGTGGTTTATGATAAACGGATATCTGTTCACCAGTAAGTATAAAGAAATTCAAAACCTCTGACTAAAAGAATTCTACAACTTTTTGACTGTATTTCCTTTATCTTAGTAGTGTTGTAAGCATGAGAAAGTTTTTTAAAGTCTTAGAAATATAAAAAAAAACACCAAAAATAAAAATATCTTTTTGGGAAAGAACAAGTAAATTAAATGTTTTTTTTAAATAGAGTATACTTATCATTTTAAATGCTGATTTAATTTTGATAATATAATATATATATATATTTATAATATAATAACGTTAAATGTTTTATTGTAATTAGTTATCACAAAACTAAAATAAATAAATAATTTAATAACGTTATCTTTTAAAATTTCGAAATGTCATTAATTGATAAAGATTTAAATGTGAATTTTCGTTAATAAAATGACATCTTTTCTAATATTATTGCTGCTAAACTATGACACTTTGTCTTTTAGAGCACATGGTACACATTGATAAATACCTGAGTTAAATTTACGCTAGGCTCCAGAAATATGTTACATTTTTAGAGTTCTCCACTAAATAATAATATTATATCTACAGAGAAAGTGAAGATAAACAGTGCTTGACTCACGGATTTCATTGGGTAATCTCGCACACATGTTACATCGTTTTACATAAAATTTTCATATCTACAATAGCTGATCACTTCATGTCTAGTCACGTTTTTGTTATGTTAGATTATAATATAGCCCAAGATAGTAGCATATTATTCTACTTTTATTTTACATTATTATTTATTTTAGAAATATTAAAGAGATACAATGATATTATACATTGCGGCAATCTGGAGAGGTCTAGAGAGAGCTTAGCTCCCTCTATTTCTATTGCATTCCCTTATAAATTATTTGTAAATTTATTTAGCAACATTTTTAAAGAGGGGAGAAATGAAGTTAGCTACATCAGAATTTTTTTTTAAAATTTGAAGTGACAGCACTTTGACGAAAACCTAACATATTAAAAAAACAATACAAAAATTAAAATCACGATGAACATATGTATATATCCGGTTCACTGCTTAGAATTTTTGCAAAAATTGAATCTACTTGAACTATACTATTACCAACTTATTATTAGTAAACAAATCAAAATTTAAAGACATTAATGAAAAATTATACTACTTCCTATTATGTTCTTTAGCAGTAGCATAGCCAGACAGAACAAAGAAGCCATAGCCTTCTTATTGACAGCAAAATTAATATCTAAAATAAAAAGATAAGCAAAAAAAATAAATTATCCAAAATTTGGAATTTTGTAAAAAAATTTTTTGCCTCCACCTTTGTTATAAAATTCTGGCTACGCCACTGTTACTAAGTATTATTATTTTTTCAACTATATTTAACTCCATCTTATTATCATATTACACAATTGAAATAAAACTGAAGCAGCACAACAGCTATCTCTTGTGCAACATACTTTTTACATATAATATTAAGGGACACTGAATAGTGACTTAAATGGTTTCTGTAGTCACGTAATTTTATTTCATTATTAAGTGGTATACCTGTGTTCTACAGTATACAAGCATCTGTTAATATATAGAACATAAATATAGTGTGAATAGTTCAACTTTTAACTATAAATAAACTGCAATTATACATTTTAATAAATTGCATAATATTTGCAAACTACACTTACAATATCAAAATAATAATTTTGTAAAGTTTTAATCTTTTGATAAAATTATCTTTTTTTTTTAATTATTTATACAGTCAAATGAATCAACTTGGTACAGTTAAATATCTATTTTCATTTTAGTCGCATAAAATTACAGTACTAGTAAAATGTTTACATGTAATTTTAAGATAAACAAACTTTTGTTCACGAAAATGAAGTAATGAAATCTGTAAATTATTTAACTGGCCCATGTTGAACTATTTTACGGTATCATAATTGCCAGTGCCATCGCCAAAATTTTCCAAGTTTCGGGCAACTTTTAAACTTCTGACTACCAGTTAGGGCATAACTCCTCCTCCTCTCTCTTATTTAATAGTACTAAAAAATATATTTATACTAATGTATGTTTTATATTAATTATAATTACCTATTATTATATATAACTATAAATTTATTGTTTTTGGTGAGGTAACATATATAAAATTATTATATTAATAAATTTTACTTAATTAAAATTTTAAAGTTTAAATGAAAATCAAATACTTTTTATACGTTTTCATTAGGAGGAATCCAAAACTTCAGGTCTTGAAAATCATCAAAAAATAACATATACATGGACTAATATGAATGTACATACAAAGAATGGGAAAAGTCCAAATGTATACCAATCGATAACATCTTTATGTTCAATGGGCTCAGGACAGAAAAAGCAAAAAAAAAAAATTTTAAAAAATGGTATGTTCAAATTATTTATAATAAATAAAAAAAAATTCAAGTAAAATTTATTATGGAGATTCTATATCCCCAAACAATATTTTTATAATTACATTAATTAATTTATAAAATAAACGATATGCCAATGTTCACCTTAATTTTGTGATCTACCTAAATGCAACTACGCCCTAGTTCGGCTGGGTCATAGCCTAGGTTAATGAACATCTTGTTTATATATAAATTATAAGTTATTATTGTAAACTTTATTATTTAAAAAATTTATACATAATTTTAAAATACATTTCAATAATTATTAAAATTTTAAAAATAAAAAAAAAATTATAATTTTTTTTTTTATAAAAGACAAATAATAAAGACTATAGGCCAAGTCTATAACACAATTGGTGTCACCATCTCTCTCAGGCGATTAACTAACTATCCGTCCTGGAGTACCAGAGGGTTTATTACATTTTTTTTTTTGTACATCAAACATGTTTTACTCTGCATCACAAAATAATTTCTGAATAAGCAAAAAAAAAAACAAGTTATCACAACTCACCACCCCAGGTTACAACCATTGGTTTTCATCATAAAAAAATTTGAGAAAGATTTAAACTAAATCAATATACAAAATTATTATTTAGTCAAAACTTCCAGTGCATAAATAATCAGCTCGAAGAAAAACTAAATTTGTATTTTATGCATTTTAATTGCTGAACAAAAATTCATCAGGTCCAATTTAAAGTGATTGAGATCTTCATAAGCATTCGTATCTATAGCTATGAAATTATCAGCTGTATAATATTTTAGCTTTTAATAATCTTTGCCTATAACTATATAAGTTTACGGACATCGAGCTTTTTATAATACTTGTAATAAGCGAAACTGTAATATTTTATTATTATCAAACAAACGTAGAGCTATTTTTCAAATTTATTTTCTAACAAACCTACAGATGTTTTTTCTCTATTAAATTTTATTAATGGTATTTCTTTTGTGCCCAATTTGATACCGTATACAAGTCAAACATAGGTGCGATCTAAGGGTTTATAGGGACTTAGATTTCATAAAATCCGCCATAGCCCCACTAAAAATTATGAAAATAACATGTCTTTTTACAAAGAAATATTTTAAGACGAGAAGACATTAAATAGTACCTCCTAAAAATTTTGTTCGAATTGCGCTAATAAATCTAAAATTTTATAAAATTTGTGAAAGTGCTCTTTTGTACGATATATAGATCTAGTATGCAATAAGAAAATTTTTTTAATTAAATGGACTAATTCAAGGGTATTTTACATAAAATTAAGCAGTATCTAATTATTTTCTGAAATCGAAATTCACAAATATAATTTAAGGACATATTTAAACTTAAAATTGGAGGCAATCCTATAAAAGATAATGTAGGATGGTCAACCGCCAACCAAAATTACCGATTCAACTAAGACCAATTGCAATTTAAAGCGATCATATTTGTATGAAATAGGAGTTATAAGCAAAATTAATAATTTGATGTTATCTTACTTAGAACTCGAAGGATCTCATTGACTAGAGTAAAAACGTTTATAGTTAATATAATTAAAGCTTCAAAGAAGACAAATTAAGAAAAAACTGTTGTTTTTTGGCGTTTTTTATTGTTAAAAGAAGGTCCTCATTTAGAAAAAATGTTAACTGAGAATTTTAAATGTCAATACGGCTAATTTTATGAAATACACCTTCTAGAAAAATTTAAATACCGCCTTCTCTTAAAATATTAACCAAACTTAATCGAATGATATGGTTTCAATTACAGTTAGCGGCTCTGCTCATCCAGGTGAACTTTTAGCCCTTATGGGATCCAGTGGAGCAGGGAAAACCACCTTGCTTAATTCATTAACATTTAGAAGTGACAGAAACGTTGTAGAAACTGGTGTTAGAGCTATAAATGGTGTACCTATAAACAGTAAAACGTTAACTGCTGTTTCGGCGTACGTTCAGCAACACGATTTGTTCATTGGAACTTTAACTGTTCGAGAACATCTTACCTTTCAAGTAAATATAAATTCAATAGAAATAATTAAGCCTAAATTATTTCAAATATTTTAATTCATTACAGAGTAATTTAATTAATATGATAAATGTAGACATTATCCCAAAAATATAATCCAATAATTATTTCAGATTAGTACATTTTTAAAAAAATATATTATTTGTAGGCTTTAGTCCGGATGGATAGACACATCCCACATCACAAACGAATGGCTCGCGTTGAAGAAGTTATACAAGAGGTAAAAAATTAACCTAAAATTTTATTGATACCCATAATTATAATGTATTCATCTAAAAACACCTTTTTTTATAAGTCTCGTTATGTCTTAGCTATCACTAAAAAAATGTGAAGACACAATTATTGGTGTACCTGGTAAATTGAAAGGATTGTCAGGCGGTGAAATGAAACGGTTGTCATTTGCTTCAGAAGTACATACCATAACAATTTTGTTTTTAATCATGTTTTAGTAAAATTTTAATAAATACTAATGAAATTAATTAAATGAAATCAGGTATTGACTGATCCACCTTTAATGTTCTGTGATGAGCCTACATCAGGGTTGGATTCATTCATGGCTCAAAATGTTATAAGTGTTTTGAAATCAATGTCTACAAAAGGAAAAACTATCATATGTACTATACATCAGCCGTCTTCAGAAGTATATTCAATGTTTGACAAAATCCTTTTACTAGCAAACGGTCAAACTGCTTTCTTGGGAACACCTAATGAAGCCATTGATTTTTTCAAAACGTAAGTTGTACATTATAGAAAAAAAATAAATATAGTTAAAATTGTAATAGTGTAATATTACAATTTTCACAATTGTACTGCCTTTTTTGACTATTGTTTAATGAATATTAAAGTTAACTCTTTTAAATTAAAGCCTTGGGGTAACTTGTCCGAAAAATCACAATCCCGCCGATTTCTTTATTCAATTATTGGCAATTGTTCCAACACAAGAAGTAGCTTCACACGAAACTATTGAAACAGTATGTGAAGCCTATGAAAATTCAATCTACAAACAAAACATCATGGCTCACCAAAGAAACTTAATGGATATGAAAAAAGTAGTATTTAAAATTAATTTTAAAATTCGTTTGAATTCATTTGAATCTTTTATTTATAGAATTCAATCGAATGGGATCATAAAGAATTGTCAAATCGTTCACCATATAAAGCCACGTGGCTAGAACAATTTTCAGCAGTTTTCTGGCGCTCTTGGTTAAGTGTTAAAAAAGAACCGACCATTACAAAAGTCAGGATGGTCCAAACAATAGTAATATTAATATTAAACTCAATAATATGGGATATTTGGGTTTATTTGAAAAATAAGGGTTATTTGAAACGTGGCAAGGTTAAGTGATGTAAGTAAAAGTTTTTTCGGGAAATTAATAAAAAATATTATATTTTCCTATAGTGAGGCGTTGGAAAGTCTGTCTTTGGGTACTCGTTTTTACAATTAATAGTTATTTATGTTAAATTTTATTTCACAGTATTGACATTAATATAGAAATTAATTTGGTATATTAAAAATTGTATTTTAATTTTTGATCAATAAAAAGGGATCATTTAGCCCTGCTTTGCCTCAATTACGGTAACTTCAGAAAATATACAAGGGTTACTTAAATTATTTTCGTTAATCGAAAGCCTTTTTTAATAATGATCTTGGGATCTATTAATAATATATAAATACACATAAAGATAAGTATGTAAATATTTTTAGCAGGAAAATTTAAATTATTTCTATTCTTTTTTTTTTTTTAATAAGTGCAAATCTAGAAATAAGAGAGCAAACATCTTGTGTTTACTATTGTTAATCACAGTGTCGTATTTTCACGAGACCGGACCTTCAATTGAAATAAAAGAACAAATAGGAGGGTGTAGTAAAAGGTTGAATCTCCCGACATTCTAAAAGTTATCTCGATCCAAAAAAAAATTTAAACACGTTACAAATTGATTAACAGTTAAAATTAATTAGATATAAATTTAAGCATATAATGATCATGGTGTAGCGCAGTGGATCATTTAGTCGCCGCCTTAACGCTGATGTTCAGATGCGCTACTTGCTATTGGTTCCCAGATGAGTTTCTATACAAAAACTTTAACAGTTACACACACCTTACTGGTTCCCTCAACCATAATGAGGTTGCGTCAAGTCGACATTCGACATAAAAATCCTGTCAAATCAATAAGGTAGAGCCGAATCCAAATAATTGTGAAGAGACTAAGGAGATGATGATATTTGAAAATATAACTATATTAGATTATAAAAAATCTACTCAATTTTTTTATAGATGGTAGCTTGTTTGATCAGTTTTATATTTTACAATCAACGTTTAGATCAGGATGGTGTTATGAACATTAATGGAGCTTTATTTATGTGTATATCAAACATGACTTTCCAGAACGTGTTAGCAGTTATAAATGTAAGCTTAACTTGGAATTTTGATAAGATCTAAAATAAAAACATTAAGACAACTACTTATTTACTGTTTTAAGGTTTTTTGTTCTGAACTCCCAGTATTCATGCGTGAACACTACAATGGCATGTATAGGACAGATGTTTATTTTTTGTGCAAAACGTTTGCTGAAATACCAATATTCCTAGTTATACCTGTATTATTTACTGTAATAATATACTATTTAATTGGTTTGAATCCAAAACTAATTCATTTTTTTATAAGCATAATAATTATAACATTAGTTAGTCTTGTCGCAGTTTCTTTTGGTAAGTAAATTTTCACATTAAATAAATTAATACATATTTCTAGAGATACTATATTTAGAAAAAATTCATAAAAAGTTTATATTTGAAATGTGTCAGTAAAAACATCAAAAATATTACTTACAGGTTACTTAATTTCATGTGTTAGTGGCAACATTTCAGTAGCTCTATCAATAGGTCCTACTATAGTTATACCTTTTCTACTTTTCGGAGGATATTTTTTGAATGTCAAGTAAGAAACCATATAAAATTAACACTTATATTAAAAACTCATTGTAACATAAAATATTTGTTCTTCGCTTCTTTAATAAATCTAAATTTCGATTTAATATTAAATGTACAGCTTTAAGTAAATACAAATCAGTAGAGAGTATTTTTATACAAATTTTATTTTTAGCTCAATTCCTTCCTATTTTCGATGGCTAAGCTTCTTTTCGTGGTTTAAGTATGCCAATGAAGGATTACTCATTAATCAGTGGGCTGATATCAATAGAATTGAATGTAACAGAGTTAATACCACATGTCCACGGACTGGTCATGCTGTTTTAGAATCAGTGAACTTTCTAGAAGTAAATAAAAAATATTAAAAATTAATATTGAAAACTAAATAATTATTAAATTTATATAAATTTAATTATTACATTGATGTTTCATAGTAATAAAATTTAAAAAAAACTTTTGTTAAATTTTTATTTGACTGATGAAAAAGGCTTGTGTTGTAATAGGGCCTATTACAACACTTGGGACTTCATACATTTATAAAAATTGTTTAAATCATCCTGAATATATCAATGGTTAGACTATATTTTTATTAATTTTTCTTAAAACTTAACATTACATTTTTTAAAAGTACAAATTACAAAAATAATTTTAATTGGTGTAGTTATGAATTACTTATTGATATGTTACATATTACATAACATATCAACAGATCTGTTTATACCATTGCTTTACCTGGACTTAGGTGCACTGGAAATAGTAAAAATAAATTTTATAAATGTATGAAGTCCCAAACCATATCTATGATTCATACAGTTACAAAAAATAACAAACAAACTAAAATGTCTTAAAAAGTTTGAGCTGATTAAAAAAAAAATTAAGTTGTATAAAAAACATTTTTTGGGCATACATCTTTAAGCAATTGACCAATTCAAATATTAATGTAATATGAATTTGACTAATAAGAATCATATTTTAGGGAAATTTCTACATGGATATTGTTTTACTGTTTTGCTTAATTATCATATTCAGGATACTTGCATTTTTGGCTCTTCTTGCAAGAACCTCAAGGAAATAACAATATTTCAATGTCACATATTCTATTAATTTAGAAAATTACTTAAAGAATGCACATAACTACTTAATCAATTTTTTTATAAAAAATTATTAATAAATTATATGTACATATATACATAATTAATTTTTCTATTGATAAGAAAGTAGTATTTAATTGATCTGTCAGAGCACATGTGAATAAAGTACTTAAAATAAAAATAAATTGAGGTATTTTTATCATTAATTCATAATTTTTTATTAAATATAAATAAATTACGACAAATCAGACTATGGAAATATTGAACTAAGGATAAAAGTTTTATGCACAGTATATAAAACAATTTAATTACATTTTATTTATTAATTGCAATTTTTATATATACAGAGTGTTCAGTAAGAAACAAATTTATTTTGCTCTCATTGTTTGTAATAATTTACCTGTTTCCTAACTTACTGAATACCCTGTTTTATATATGTATGTATAATAATGGATGAGGAGATGAAAAGTAAAGTAGTAGAAGTAGCTAGGAAAAGTGACAGAATTATAGTCATAAAATTGATAATCGAGGAAAAAGTGCTGAATGTAATAAGTGCCTATGCACCACAAGTAGGATGCGAAAAAAAAATAGATAAGTGTTTTGGAGAAAGATGGATGAGGTGATGCAAGGGGTACCTGGCAATGAGGATGTGGTGATAGATGGAGATATGAATGGACATATAGGTAATGAGAGGAGAGGATATGATATGAATAGATAACAAATTGATTATTTTATGTGGAAGAGAGAGAGAGCGTAAAGCAAGTAAAAGATTGTAAAGCTATATCAGGCAAGAGTGTAACTACACAACATAGACTGAACGTAATGGAGTTGTAGTGTACCGGAAAAAAAATATACAAAAATAGAAAAAACAAGGGTGAGAAATCGAAGATCCGGTGGTGGAAATTGAAAGGGGAAAGTGAAAAAGAGTTTGTAAAGACAGTAAAAAAGAGGACGGTGTGGATGTCGAGGGAGACATAAATGATGTGTGGAATAGATTTGCTAGTTGGGTAAAAAATACTGCAAAGGAGTGTATTGGTGAGAGTAGGAGTATGAAGAATGCCTGGAAACAAGGTAACCTGGTGGTAAGATGAGGACGTTCAAAAAATCATAGAAAGTAAGAAAAAGCAATTAAAAAAATGGTAGAAGAGCAAAAGGAAAGAAGATTGGATAGAGTATAAACGCTTGTGCAAAGAAGCCAAGTGTGCAGTTTAGTTTTAGTTTTAGTTTTAGTTATTATTGAGGTGGACATAATGCCCATGCACTCAGACCTGTTGGTCCATTGTGCGCACCTCATACCGAATTGTTTTGATTCGGTTTACCCACCTAAGTGTTATCACCAAAGTGTTAATACCAAGTGTGCAGTAAGTAAGGCAAAGTTTAAGAAGTATGATGAGTTGTATGATAAGCTAGGAACAAAGGAAGGTGAGAAAGAAATCTATAGACTTGCAAAAGTAAGAGAGAAAAGTTCTTAAGATTATTATTATATAAGGTGTATAGAAAGTGTGATAATAAGGTACTCTCGAGCGATGATGATGTGAAAAAAGGTGGAAAGAGTATTTTGAAAAATTACTGAATGAGGAGTACCCAAATGAGACATTAGAGGATATCTTGTGAAATGAGGGACCTGTAGATTTAATTAATGAGAAAGAGGTATGGGAGGCTGTGGCATCAATGAAAAATAATAAAGCAGAAGGACCAAATGAAGTGCCAGTAGAAGTATGGAAAATATTAGACGATTATTAGGAAATTAATCAAAGGCTAGAGGTGTGGAAATCAGCTCTTGAAGAAAAGAGTTTAAGAATATGCAGAAGTAAGACAGAGTATATAGAGTACCAATTTGACAAAGGAAAACACGAGGTAGGAGAAATGAGATCAGTGACAATAGGTGAAGATGTGATTGGAGAGGTGGAAAGTTTTAAGTATTAAGTTTAAACTGAATAAAAAATGAATTTTGTAACTTATTAGCTTTTGAAAGCTTCAAAATTATATGTTTACATCAAATGCATAAAATTTTGAATTTAAATATTTATATTTAAAATAAAAACATTAATAAGCAAAAATTGCACTTGTATACTGATTTTAAAACAAAAAATGAATAATATTTTCATACTTACAATGATGGTTAATAGTGATACACATTTGTATGGTTTGAAGTAGTATACTTTATACATACATGAGGATAATTCAATCTCCAATCAAGAATATTCATTTCTTTGATATTTTCACAAAAATTAACATCCATTAATTTTAGATGTTTACAATTCTGTAGAAATCTTGAACAAGCATCAGCAGTAATTGCCCTTAGTCCAACTAAATCTATTTGCTCTAATAGAGGACAATTGTTAGAAAATGCTAACAAATCTCTATCACAAACTCCACGTAATGATACAATGATAATTTTTTTAAGACTTGGACAAGCTTTGGCTAAACTTACAAGACTATCTCCAGGGATACTTAAACCCAAACTAAAAATAAATACCATAATAACAACTTATTTATTATTTATATTTAAATATTTAAAAATACTAACCACCAGCCTAGATCAATTTCTTCAAGTTTTGAACAAGCAGTCAAATAGCGCAATCCACTAGGAGATAATGTATAACTTTTCCAAAAGTCCACAGAAACAAGATCTGTATTCCAAAATGCTAAAGTAAACGCCACTCTATCCATTGTTTCAATTTTTTTACAAGACCCTAAAAATTTACAAATATTATCATTATATTAACTGATAGGCTGTTAAATTCAGTTTCTATAATAATAATTACCTAAATTTATGTGCTTCAAGTAAGGAGTACAACATAATATGGATTCTAGTGCTTTTACAGTGATATTAGTCCTATAGAAATCAAATCGTTCAATTTTTGGAAAACTAAGCATACAGTTGAACTCAAATTCAATTGAAGTACAATTCCTTAAACTTAACTCTATTAAAATAAAATAAATCACATTTTACAACATTATTTTAATTATATAATTAATTTTAATTTGTTTAAAGTAAAGAATATTTATATATTTATTCACAACAGTACCTTTAAGATTTGGGCAGTATAAACTAATGGCAGTTAAAACAGTACATTTGACAAATCCACAACTGTCCAAACGAAGATTTGTGAAATTATTTCCACATTTTTTAATAAATCTAAATGCAATACATATACAGTGTGATAAATTAAAGACAAGACAACAAACATTAAATCAGAAACTATAGAATATCTTCAATTTTTATAAAGGAAAATATTATTTGATTCAAAAAACTAAGCAATTGTATTTAGTTAAATTATTTTATTTTTTCTTTCTGAAGAAAAAAAATGGTAACCACTGTTTTTTTTTAATTTTTATTAGTTTCATGACATGTATAAAAAAATAATTACAAGTTGTAATTTGTCTTAATAATTTTTTTTATTGGATCAGCCAATTGCGTTTTAACATTATTTAAAGATTTGAGTTTAAAATTAAAATTCATCTATAATTTGGTTTTTATAAATCCAAAGGCAATCATTATCTTTTTTAACTGACTTTAAATTATTATTGGTATTTATTCTTACTATCGTAAGTAACAAATAATAACAAGAATTGTTAATAAAAACTTATTTATGTGATAACATGAAGAAGTGCTAAACATCAAATTATCAATAGAAAATTGGTCTAAAAATTATTAAATGTTGACAAACAAAAACAGAAGAACAGTTTATTGTATAAAAAATATTAAAAGAACAAAAATTTTTTTCTATTGTATCGTTAAACTAAAAATCCCAACGCAGCACAGGGGGGTCGCGGCACAGTGGTGACGTGGCATAGTTGGATCAAGTATAATGATATCTGACAGTGATTACAATCACTCTAAAAAAAAACGCTTCGATACAAATTTTTAGATAGTGTTGAATTTTAACAAATTGGTGGATTATTCCAAAAGCTACATGATCTGCTATTTTCTTATTAATATCCTGAATGAAAAAGGGATTATTAAAAAATATTATTTCTCATAAAAAAATTGTGTTGATTCATACACTTTTCAATAAGTTATAGCATTATAACGTTAAAAATGTAAAAAATAAAATCAAGAATTTTCACACGAAAATAGCATTTGGTAGCCATTTTACTACGAAGACAAGTCCAGAGGTCAAATTTTTTTTTTCATAATAAAGTATATTACATTATATTTAATTTAAGATATATATAAATGTGTCAGACTTTCCGGAACATTTTCAAAAGTCAAGTTGAAAAAGTTCTACTTTCTATATGCATTTTTATGTTTTGAACCCTCCCTGTATTAAGGGAAATGGTCCGATTAAAAAAAAAAAGTATGTCGAATTAAAGAGGTATATGAATAATATTTCTCATAAAAAAATTGTATTGATTCATACATTTTTCAAAGATTTATAGCGTTATAAAGTTAAAAATATGAAAAAGAATTTTTTACAAAAATCGAATTTTGTTTATTAACTTTGATGACTGTTTTCACCATGAAAACAAAATAAAGTCCGAAATTTTTTTTTTCCATAATAAAGTATATTACATTAGCTTTAGTTTAAGATATATATAAAAGTGTCAGTATTTTCAGAACACTTTCAAAAGTAAGTTGAAAAAGTTAATTTTTTGTGAAAAAGTTTTTTTTTTAAATCCCCCCCTGTGGGCTGGTAAAGGGTAAAATTTATAAAAAAAAATATACTAAATGATAGGTAAAGACATCAATCATCTATTAAAAAAAAAAATTATATTGATTTGTTTATTTTTGAAAAAGTTATGGCTGTTTTAAGTAAAAAAATTGAAAAAATTTCGAAAATTAGCGATTTTTAAATTTGTAATTTTTTTGGAGGTTTCCCCCATTTACGGGGAACGAGGGAAATATTTTCAATTTTTGAGGGTAATGTCTTCGACTAGATACGATTTTTGATCTTTTGACGTATTATTGAAAGAAATCGGTTCAGTGAGAGCTGAGAAAAAGTGGTAACAGACACAACGTAGTTAAATTAATACCTTCTCAGCTTCGCATCAAAGCTAAAAGGATTCATATTAAAGAAAATTAAAATTTAAGCAATTTAACCCTGGGAAATAATAAAAAATAATAACTTAACTACACATTTCTTTTAATTATTTTAAATCAATTGAATTTTGTCTTTATAATAATATTTTAATATTAAACAATATAGTTTTAAGAAACATAATGTTTAATTGAGCATCTAATACTTTAATTCAATTGATAAACAAAAATACTTACAAATTAAATTCAGTACTTGATATTCCATTAGTTATTCCACACCATGATAAATCTAATTTTGTTAAACGTGTACAATAAGGCTCAAGTGAAGTCAACATTAAGTATGAGAATGATGACCAATAAGGCTACAAATTATCATTTAAAATTCAATGAATTTAATACCATATTTATTTTGTTTATAAATTTTATTATTATCTCACTTTTAGGTTAATTTCTGTATATAAAAATTCATCTTTACATATATCATTAAACCGTTTACACACAGCCATACATCTACGTAACGATTTTAGATCCAGAAATGAAAAAATAAGCATTAATGTTTCATCCTACAAAAAAAATTAACTTAAGTTAGTTTTAATTTAGCAATATATCAAAAACTACATAATATAATTAAATAACACACCGGTAATTGAGATATGAGATCAAAATTAGGAGCCTTGCGACATTCAATTTCCAATTCTTCAATATTTTTAATCAATTTTATAAATGGATCTAAACTTGTAGAAACCGGAATCTAAAAGTATAATACCATACGTTATATAAAAAGTAAATTATCTTCAAATGTAAATTACTTTAGGCAATATTGACGAAACACTGACTTCAGATGCATGCTGATTATCATCAAAAATATAACCTGAAAGTGTAGGTGTGATTGGAAGGCGTTTTACATTAATAATTCCATCTTCTGGATTATTTACAATGCCACCTAATGAAACAGCATCTAATTCGGTGTAGTAGTCTAATTGTGTATGATTAAACTCAATACATATTTGCCTTAATTAAAAAATGTTATTTAGTTAACTCTAATTGCTCAAATAATTTTAATTTTTATACTTTATACGCTCTCCTATAAACTTAATTTGTGGAGAAAATAAACGAGACTGCCGAATACCATTGCAATTTTGTGGCATACCTTCCCAAAGCAGCTTCCATGCTTTTGTTTCTGGTTGGTCCACTACTTTTCCTGATATACGAATTACTGATCCAGGGGTATATGTCTCAAAAATGGAAACTACCATAGGTATAACCGGAATATCAAATGACAAAACTAAAAAAATTTTGTTTCAAAATAATACAATATTTTAAATATTACACTAATGAAATATGATACCATTTAATCTATTTTAGATTTTTACTAAAAGAAGGATAACAGGTAAAATAGCTTAAAAAACAAAAAATCAACTATAGAACCCTACCTTAAATAAACAAATTCATACTGGAGACATATTATACTAGTCTGATATTAGTTCAAAACATACAAAATAGTTTAAATTAGTAATACAATAATAATAAAGTTTATTAAACTTTTATTGTTCAGAATATTTACATATATATCCATGTCTTCAGTTTTATTCTGATGTTTCAAACTATACAACGAGTTTGAAATGCCAGCATAAAATTGAAAACATAGATATATCTGTAAATATTTTAATAATTCAACAATTTATGAAAGCTTTAACACAACTATTAATCATTTTATGATTTAGGATTATTAAATAGCATTATTAGATAGCAAAATAAAACTGGAAACAATATATCAAAAATAATTCATATATTAATAAAATCAGATTAAATATAATATTAAAACATTAATATTACAACTATAAATAAACACACACACACACATATGATTCTAACAAAAATCTGTTATGGATTTTTCTCCTAAAATATAGAAAAAACACCATGCAAGAATAATGTTTTAATTAGTGTTAAAGAGGGAAGAAGAGTTAGATTTTCTCCCTAACAAGTATTATAGAGAAAATAAATCTACTAAACAAATAACATAAAATTTACTTATAAAATCTTCGCTTTTAATTTTGCCAGCATTTTGTGGCATTATTGAACATTTTCTGGAAGGTGAATGTTCTTTCCATGGTCCATAAGATCTCTAAAAATGAATATAATTGATAATATGATAATATAAAAATAACATTACAATAATAAATAAAAAATATTTAACTACAATCTATTTTCTATTGTTTAAAACCATAACATTAAACCATTTAAAAACATTAAAAAGTACCATCATAGTATTCTTGAATATGAAGTATAAAATGTATTGTACACCAGAAACAAAAATTTTATAAGTAATCGCAAAATAGTTAATATCAAAAATCAAAGAAAATCATAATATTTATAGTGAAATTGTAAATAAGTACATTTTTATGACTATTTAAATTTAATAGATATAATGAAACGTAGAAAATATAACTGTAGATTACCATAACATAGGATTGTGGAAAATCTCCATAGTTGGGAAATTTGCTCGGCTTTCCTGTAAGGTTGCTGGCAGTATATGATATACTTATATCACTACCATATTGCGAGCTAAAGTCAACAACCTCAGATGCAAATTGAAAAACAAAACCATCCATTTCATGACATTGTTGACTTGTTTGGTCGGCATAAGTTCTCGTATAATCAATGTATGACTTGCATAACTTTTTTAGATCGGCTAAATTAAAACCGAGCTGTTCTTCTGTCATGACGTTTTTTTGAATCTTATAAACTAATAAATCACAGTGAACCGTGGACTTCTAGAACACATTTTAATGTAAATGATAAATAATTATGTTAAAATAAATCATATTTATAATACAGCCTTATATTAACTATTATTAAATTTGAAGATTATTATTTAAAAAAAAACTAATCTGTACATTCAATGTTTTTGTTAGAATTTACAAGATTTTATCACATAATTCTTTCAAGATACTAAGCTTGCATTGGTGATAACCGATTAAGTGTTACCAATATTTAAAGAAAATGCAACTATTATATTTATATTTATCTACTTAATTGTAAAATTTAATTCATTTTTTAAAATATTACTGAAAAATACAAGTATAAATTGCATAAGATATGATTTAAAAATCTTAATTATATTTTCATATTTAAACGGAAATAAATTTAAATTTTAAAACAGACAGCGTACAATAGTTGATAAAATCCAAAATTATCAACTGTATTTTCGTTTGTATTACTTTTTTTAAAGATTTTTAAGTATACTTAATAATAATATGTATTATTTTTTATACAATTAAAATATATCAAAATTTTATATTATAAATTTAAATCAATATTTTCCTATTTCTATTATGAAATGGACCTTGTGCCCAGATAACTTCTATTAATAGTTTTTTTATTGCGAGACCCGAAAATACTAAAAATATTTTTTTTGATCTAGAAATTTTCCTTAATACTTCACTAAATAAGTTTTGTTAAATTGAATTTTATAAACAGAAAAAATACATTATAACAAAAACCATTCAACATAAACTTTTAAGAAATGAAAATGAAATTTATAAAAAAAGACTTAGTTACTATTTGTCCCTTTGTTTTTAATTATCTTGGATAATCATTAGTTAATTAAAAAAATTTTTAAAAGGTAATTAAGGCAAGATAATCCGTAGGTATTTTTTCATCCCTCTAAAATATATAAAAGAAGTATGACATTATCTTAGATTCTAAAAGTTGACGAGCTTATGCCAGTATTTTAAATATATAAATTTAGCTTCAATGCGAAACTGACAATTTATTTAACTACGGTATGTTTATTTATATATTATTTTTTTTTATGCCAGTTATTAATTTTTATCAGCTATGATTGAACCAATTTTTTAAAAGATATGTCGACTGATCACAAATTGGAAAATTTTCCCTTTTTCCACGTAAATGAGAGAAATTCCCCCAAAAATTACTAAATTTTTTTAAATCGGTAAATTTCAATATTTTTTTTACTTTTTTTTTCATTCAAAACACTGTCATATTTTAAAAATAAATGAATCAAAATAAACCTTTTTTATAAATCATTTTTTTTTGAAAGTCCAACTATTAACCTTCTCACTGATAAATATTCAAAATTATTACTTTGCATGAAAAGTTAACTTAACTTTTAAAAGTGTTTCGTTAATACTACGAACTTCAAACATATGTTTTATTAAAGTTTATATTACATATTATTAGGTTTAAACAGTTAGTCCCGGACACCTAATCTTCTATATTTAAATCTTCCCTAAAGTAAAAGAAAATGTTATTTTGGTTTAAAAGATTCATCGTATCTCATGTTAATATAATTTTTATTTCTACTCTTTTCAATTATTTGTTTATATTAAATATCAATATAATACTAAATTGAATTTCTATAATACATATTTATTCATGTATTATACTTGTATACTATAAAACTAGTACACAGGTTATAATTAAGGAATTTGGAGTCTATGTTACTTTTGGATAGAAATATTTTTTCATGATAATGATTTTATTCACTCTCTGACATTTATACAAGTCCCAACTGTGCTAGGCTGGGTTTTTTAAACATTTTTTTATTTTAATGGAAAAATAAATTATTTAAATAAAAACAATAGAAAGCTACTTTTTTAAATAAAATGTAGCCCTTGAAATATAACTCTCATAGAAATAATATAGTTAAAAAAATTTATTATTACATACTTAAGCTTATATTAACACTATGACTTTAAAGGGAAATTTATTATCTCATTAATATTTCAAATTAACTATTATTATACAACAATATTACAACAAAAATGCTTTTAACAGCAATAATTAATAATAATGCTTACATTTCTTCACAGTGTGTGTACTATTAATGCAACACTCTAATTCGACAATTGTTTATAATTGGTAAAATATCATGGTATTTATATACATAAATATAAACATTAATTTAATTCTTATTAACATTTATATAATGCACAAAATTTGTTTTTTTTTTTTTTACAAGAACAATAATTCATTAGTAACTTATATATTTTAAACAAAAATCTTATGAAGCACAATAATTTATTTTCTTCCATGAAAAGTTAATTCCGATTAACTGCAGTATTTTTTGATGTAGTGTAAGTGGAATTAGATCACTGGGTACCAGTGGAAAATAATGCAATAAGCCCACTAGCAATACCAACAGAAAATACATAATTTCTAAAAATTTCTAGTTCAGGAAAACTTAAATGTATATCTTCTTATTTAGTGAAATTATAAAAATTTTACTGATCAAATAAAAAAATTTAATTAAATGTGATTTTTTTAACACATTGACTGCCATATATAAATTATTAATATAAATAATATGTAATTTTGACTGCTAGTGAGTCACATAATGTGACTAATAATCAAAAGTAATAATTAACATGTTAAGATAATTATTTAATACTAGCTTAGTGCCAAAAATCATAATTTTTACAGCAAGATAGAAACTTTTACACAAATATGACAACATATTTACTTAAAAATACTATATATGGCCATTACACCCTCTTCAGAGGAGAAGTTTCTTAACTGTAAATACTCTGAGACAGGTGGTAAATCTATGTCTAGAGATATTAAAAAAAAATCATTTTCATAGAAAAGACAATTGAGTTATGAATTTTGTTTTCCCCCCCCCCCCATACATTATGCAGAAAATTATTTTTTATTTAAATTTTATAGAATAGTTTTTTTTCTATAAACAATTTCAAATAAATATAATTAAAATTCATTTTTTGAATTAAGTATTAAAAGGATACGCTGTGGTTGAGAAGCCTCTCAACAGATAAAAACTTAATAAAACAACTATGACCAAAAACAATGCATTGTTGTAAAATATTGAAAATGCTGTTGCTTCATAGTCAGCAACATCATTTTTCTGAAATAGTGCTCTGAAAAAATCATGTATAGTAAAAAATTAGTAATATTAAAAAATGTATACTTAATTAAATTAAATTATATAATATTGTTGCTGTTATGCAAAAAGTGACTAGATGATAATTAAATTATTTATTTTTTTAAAAGAATAATTTTATATTATTTATATTCAAAAATTTTTTTAACAATTAAATATTTTTAATTTTTAAGTAAAATAACTAATGAATGAAATAAATGAAATAAAAATAAATATACATTTTTTAAAATATTATTTTAATTTGTTCAAACTCTTAAAAGCTATGAAAAATACAATTACTTGGTCATTGTTTAGACAACAGCTACAATATGTTGCAAACAAATTGTTTATATAAAAATTTGTACGTTCAAAGAATTTGAAATAACTTTTAAAAAATTCTACCAAATGAAATGACGCATATAGTTAATATGACAACTGAACTATAGCATTAGGTAAATTATTTTAGCATAACAATAAATATTACTTTTCATCTTTTTCTTTTTTGCTAATTTTTTTATCTTCAGCATACTTTAAAGTAATTTCTCGGGTTACAGCTTCTTCTCTTTTAATAGCAATCTGTAATTAATAATAACAGTTTTTTATTTATTGTATTATTTTATTTTTAACTCATATTAAAACTCACTTTGTGTTTCAAAATAAACTTGGTATTTTTATAAGCAAACGCAATAAGATAGGTACTGCCTAAAGTTACAAGAATAAACCAAACAAGAGCTGGCATCATTTCAATCATATGTATTCTCCAGTAAAGCCCTGTTATGAGTAAGCTTTTAGTCTTCTTCTTTTGCAGGTTTTGTAAATGATTTTTATTAAATTTTAGAGTTTTTAATACTTACAAATTGGGAGTGCTGAAACCATAAATGCACTTCCGTAGAACAAAGCTGCAGACTTTGCAGAAACATTTCTACTGAAATCAGAGAGCAATTGTTCTTCTTCTTTAGTGAAAAGGCTTTCTTCGGATTTTTCCTTTTTACCCATGTTTTTTGAAAAACTAAAAAAATTAAATTAAATAATACAAATAAATTAAAACAGTAACAAAACGAAATTTAACTATAACCCGACAGCAGACGTAAGACGTGTAACCCTATGAAACAATATAAGTTGCAAGTCTAGCTATATTTTAACAGTTATGTTTTCACTTTTTCGATTTGTTTACGTATCACATATTCACCGCAAAATCACCAACCAAGAGCAACGTGTTCGTTATGACAGTGTAACCAGAATATAAATAAATATACAACCATCCAAATCAAAATAATTACTTGTAACTTGGTTACTCAATCGATATTTTAAAATGATGGGAAGTGTGGATTGCATTAATATGTAATTAAAATAAAATAAAAATTCCCATATTATAAAAATCTTTATAACGCACAACTATTTGATAAAGAATTTTACTAATAAATCAAGTAGGTTAGTGAGATTTATGAAAGTTTTTAATTTTACTAACTAATTATGTTAATTACATAATTAGTTAAAGGCCGCTCTTTAAAATGAAATATGCAAAGAGAAAAAATGTAAACTATTAAGTTATTAAGTAAAAGAACAAGTTGAGTTGGTAAATTAGTAAGCTAATAACGTTTTAAATAATTGGTTTCGATCCTAGAATAATAGTTACTTAAGTGTAATTCTATAAAAGTTACATTTTTTGGATAATTAACTTATAAAACTTTAGTTAAACTTGTTAGATTAATAAATGGGTCAACATTTTAAAATAACAAGTGTGAGAGAATCATTTATCCTATAGTTAATTTTACTAAAGGTCATCAACAAGCGTATAAACTCAGTACCCTATTGCTTAAAAAATGCCTCCTTAAATATATCTTCAAAATTTAGAAATTATATGAATATACAGAACATTTACTGTCATTATTTTGCTACCTTAAGCTCGGTTTTATAAATGTTATATATCATAAATAATGAATGAAGTGTATGACAAAGAGTATATATACTTTTTAACATGTTATACTACACACTTTTCTATTTCATAACTTATTTTTATAAGCGACTTATACAAGCCTTGGCATTTTCTTAAACCAACGAACAGACCTAAATAGATCAAAGGCTGATCATAGATTAATACAGGTATGGGTATTAAGTGGTTTATTAATCTGAATATCTCCTATATATTTATATTATTAAATCACAATGAACCATTTTATATTTACAATTATAATAACAGTCCCTTATAAAACCGTGAAATAAGTATTTAATCAAGTCGTGAAAGTGAAATAAAATCAACAAAAAAATTGTACTTGAATTAAATCTCATAGTTGTATTTTTTAATAAGATTAATCTACTTAAAGGATTTATTCAATATTATATTTAAATTATTATGTAACTAAAATTACATTTATCTATCAAACTCAAACTACTGTAATTATAATCACAGTGCAACCAATAATAAAATTATTGTATAAGAACGCGTCGTTTCAGGATTTTTTACTCCATGATATTTTGTATATACTCCTTGAGGTGTGCTTAAATCGGAGTCGAGCTGAGTCATATTGTAAGAATCCTCTAGTAAGTAGTACTACTATAAAAACTCGACAAGAATTTTGCTCACCGCTCCTGAGTGTCTGCGCTTCGTGTGAAAAGTTTAATTTAAGTGTTCGGCTAACTTTTTACGCTCGTACGCGTTTACCGTTCAATTGTTTATACGTTGCTCGTTATATAACGCATTTGACGATATGGCATCGGGTGTGACTGTTGCAGACGCTTGCAAAAAGGTCTATGAAGAAATTAAGAAAGATAAAAAACACAGGTATGTTGTTTTTCATATTAAAGATGAAAAACAAATCGACATTGAGGTGATCGGTGAACGTAACTCAACCTATGATCAGTTCCTAGAAGACCTACAAAAGGCCGGGCCAGAAGAGTGCCGTTATGGACTTTTCGACTTCGAATATACTCATCAATGCCAAGGCACATCGGAAAGCTCTAAGAAACAAAAATTGTTCTTGTTGTGCTGGTGTCCAGATACTGCAAGAGTAAAGAAGAAGATGGTGTACTCGTCCAGCTACGATGCGCTCAAGAAATCATTGGTCGGTGTTCACAAGGCGTTCCAGGCAACCGATCATTCTGAAGCTTCCCAAGAGGTAATCGAAGAAAAGCTCAGATCCACCGACAGGCAGTAAAAATATCAAATATATATATATATTTTTCTAAATATATGCGCCAATATATATTTATTTAAGTGAAGGTTTCATCTTTTACGTTTTGGTATTAAAAAATTATTAAAATAAAAAAAATTAGTACTTCCACAACGTAATTGTTTACTATATACAACATACATTATGAATTTATACATTTACTAACATAAAAACCAAATAATCACAATATTCATTTTGTTTTTATCTAAGCAATATGTTCCCTTGTAAGAACATATATTTTATACCTACATATTATTTTTAAGTATTAATGCAAGCGTGTTTAATTTTTCATGAACAAATTATACATATTAGAAACTATGCTCTCTATTTCGTTTTTTTTTATTCATCTCAAGTGTGGTAAACTTTTCCTTTAAATTAATAGCCTTATGGTTTAAATTAAATTGCATAAGTAGCCGGTCACTCGACCAGCTGCATTACTAGGGAACCGATCGCAAAATCATGTGTAGTGTGAATTATTATTTATAATATGATTGTGATTGAAATTTCCATTGTTAGATTTGGACTTTGGTTTTGGATTTATTTCACCGTCCCATCTATTATCGGAGTTTACTCATCCGACCGATACATATATAATATACGGTTGGCTAATTTTATTTGGTTATTTTTTTTTTTACCCGCCGACCGTCTTCCGCCGCCTCTGTATCCCTCAATGGTAGATCAAACATTAAGAGTGAATTGGATGCGTTCTGATTTCCGAGCGACGCGTTGATAAGCGGTAACTGCGACGGCGGTGTATGATACGGCCGCAGTGCTACCAATATTCTAATAGTGTGCCGGCTCGCTTGTAATCTTATGAGTTATTATACATTCACTTTAAATGGGGGTCCGGAAAAGCAGTCTGCGGCGAGCACAGCATCTCAAATTAAACCAAGTCTAAAATAAGAGCATCCCACACACTAAGGGACGAGGTCCAGTCACTACGAACATCGAAACGACACATAATATAATATAATTTTTTTTTTTTTAAGAATGCCTTTCGGGACTCAATGACACAGTATATTAAACTCGTGTCTTCTCAACAAATTTTCTTCGTCGTAAATATTAATTAATTAGATTGTTTGGTGGTCTATTAAATAATGAATTAATAAATGTGTGTTAAATTAAATATATTAACTACTATTAATATAAATTATGAACTTATCTATTCTAAACTATTTTTTATAAATGTCGTATAAGTTAAAATATAACTGAAATAAATAACATATATTTTATATTAACAGAATTAAGTTGAGATAATTCTTAACTAATGAAATGTATACGATGATCTCAATAAATGCTGCACTTAAAATATTTTTATTTGCTAAAAATAAAAAAATTAAGTTTAATACTGAATTGATTGATCCAATAAGCAATAAGTAGAAATGAAAGAGCGACAATTTTTTCAAATAACTTGTTTCGCTTGCTATAATTATTCATGAATAAACAAATTAAATTTATTAATTTTCATATTATTTATTAAAACAATTTATGAGTTCATACTGCCAACGTCATATACTCGTTGTTCTATTTAACGTGTTGCTATTTGAAAAAAAAAATTGTCAACTTAAATAATAAATATTTTATCGTTTACCTGCGTCTTTTTATTAATCGTGTATATTAATTTCTACAGCTTTAACAAAATTATCCCGATGTGTAAACAAAATTTAATTAATTAAGTTGCTATCTGCATTATTTAACCTTTGAAAGCTTAGTGTTTTACTAAGTACAATTATATTGAAACATTATTAGTATTATTAATAAAGTATTGTATACTAATTTAGTATATAATACAAAGTAATTTCTTTTAGTAGATAATGTTTATACGTTGTTAATTGCATTGGGTATTATAAATGTATGTGAATTGCAAAAAACGTATTTCGTCTTAATATAACTAAGTTAGTTCATTTAGAATAATTAAACACATTAGATTAAGATTTTACATCTCTTCAAACGGATTATATAGTATTATTTAAAAAAAAAGGTAACCTATTGTTAAAAACTTATTATATACAATAATTTTCCTGATAATATTTTAATAATTTTAATGTGACGTACTAAAATTAATTTCCAAAATAATGTTAATTGATTTAAAAAAAAAAAATTTAATTTAATATTTGTTAGCTTAAAAAGTAATAATAAAAAATTTACATGTCAAAATATTTACCGCCTCAAAACAATAATCGCATAACAAAATATTTTAGTTAAAACTAATTAATTTTGTTTAAAATTGTTTTAATGTTAATTTTTATATTGTTACCTAAGAACAACTTTCATACGTTTAGATCAGTTAATGATAAAAGATAAAATAATTCATTTTTAAGTAAATAATTTTCTTAGTAACGAAAGTTTGATTAGAATGACCGCAAAGGGACCATTCATTTTGTATAATTAGGATGTTCTATTGTAGTAACTCTGAAATGTTTTTTTTTTTAAGAGTAAATATTACTATATTACTTATAACGTATTTGGTATGACACAAGTGTATAATTGTGTGTACACTATTTGAATAGCGTACAGTTATTTTGTATTGGTTTGATGTCGATGAAACCATTTTGTCACTACATATTTTCTATACCTACTTTTACATTATTATCTCTTAAAATATAAGTATTAGTCATTTGAAATAAGTGTTACAACATTTGATGAGTATTCCACGAATATTATAAAAAGATTTATTAGTCATATACTTTTTGCATCAACTGTGCTTAAAAAACATTTGCACTATAATAACGATGAAAATATAAATATGCCAACTATTCATGTGTTAAAGATAAATGTTTTAATTCAAAAATTGTAATTCAAAAACGAGTGTAGTCTAATAATCATTCAATTAAGTAATATCTTTACTAAAAAATTGTGCTATACTTTTAAATATTATGTGAGAATCTTGAAAATATTAGAAAAATAACGTAATATCGAATTTAGACATTAGCATAAAGTTATGTAATGTGTGATGAAAATTTTTTTTTCTATTTTACTATCTGTCAAGTATTAACTTACTTTTATTAAATCAAGTTTTATTGTAATTGAATAATATTTTGCTATAATAATATATATAATAATAAATATATATATATATATATTATTTAGATTAAATGTTTATAGGCGAAAGAAAGGTAATTTTTATTTTTTGACTGAATTACACTGTTATTTTGAAAGTAATTCATGAAAATATTTAATCTTATTCCACATATCACCCGTAACTTAATATTAAAAAAATGCCGAGGTATTCACTATATTAAGTTAAAATATTTTTATTATTATAAGGTTTTAAAACTAATTACTTGCAAAAACATTGTCGTTACTAATTTTTTAAGAGTTCATTAAAGTTGACAACATTAAGTTGTTACTACTTTAATAAACTAGAAATTACATTGAAAATCTAGCCTAAGAAGAATAACTATGCGTATAAATATTCATAAAGTTATTTGTTCAATAATAACATCTCTAGCATATAATAATACTAATGAATTTAAAATAGTTTCTCGTTATTTATACGTATACACTTTCCATTGATGCAACTAAAGCAAAAATGTTGGGGATGCTTAAGTTATGTTATCCTCATTAACCCCTAAGTAATGTTCCTTAGATAATTACTTACCAAAGTCATTGTAAACAAATAAAAAAAAAAAAATTTCTTATAAACCATTATATTAATATAATTTGTCGGTTCGCTTTATTATAATTAAAAATAGTTATTATTATATAAATAACCACAAAGTTTCAAATAAAGTAAAAAAATTATTTTTTGCCAAATTCTAATACAAAAAAATCGTTCCTAAACTGAGGAAAAGTTATTTTCACATAATTTTAGTGATTTATGACTCTGAAAGTGCTGATTCAGAACTGGAGAGTGCTGTAACACCCTCATTAGTTGCGCTCGTGACACTATTCATTTATAAGCAACATAGGTGAGATGTTTTCATCGTATAACAAGAGAAATAAATATTATTTTTCAACACGAAAGGCAGTTCATTATTTATTAGTCAAATTTCTATTATTTGAAACAAAAAAGTACTGTAATGAGAAAAAAATTCAATACTATTGGTTTTAAAAAAGTTTTGGTATATGCAAATGATTTTATTTTAGTTATCATTTTGTATATATTAACTTATTTTTGCTGTAAATTATTTACACCAAACGAAACAACACTAAGTTACTGCAGAAACTTTAGTTTTGGATAGATTCCCGAGTTTTTAATTTTTTACTAGGGCAAACGCTCATTTTACTCGCGATATTCTATTCGTGTGAAAATACGAATAAACGACAGTTTAAAATAAAACAAAATTTGTAACTGTGATAAAATGCAATTAATCATATAAAATGTCTATTTGGCGATCAAATATTATATTTTAAAACTTGGCAAGTAAACTTTGTTTACTTGACTACATAAAAGCAAAACCAATTAAATACTTGTTTCTATTTTCTATTACAATTATACTGCATGAATTATTTGTGAGTTGTGAATGTTATTTCACATGTATTATGCGTAGCAAATGTGTGTGCTGGAAGAGAGTGTATTCAAAATTAGATACCTATTTTAGTAACGATATATAAATATCGCGTTTTATGTTAGAGCAGCAGCGTTACTTTTACAAGCATCAGTGTATTTAAGTAGGGAGTAGTTTTTAGTTTAATGATGTAATTAAAATAAAGTTTTACTCTGAACACAATTTGAATGAGAACGTCTATTACTCTGTAAAAATAGAAATAGAAAATGTAATATCCAAAAACAATAAAAATAAGAACACAATACTTGCTATAAAAACACTTCTGATATAAAAATAGTGAAATACCTAAAAAACTTATTCTTACAAAATCTTATTAAGGGTATTTACTAAAATATTTAGATCTACATTGTGTGAGTATCGAATTTTGTGAATGTGACTTAGACTTGGAAATAAAATCACTGAAAATATGATTACCGCCTGTCAACCAACATTTATGCCGCAAATGATATTTTGACTCCTGCATAGTCTAAAAAAATTGAATAACAATTATGTGAAGTTCATATTACATGGAGGTTAGAGCACCTCTATGTATTAATGAACTGCCTATACAAAATATTATTATTCGATCATGACTAGGGCTTGAATGAGAACTCATTCTAATGTGTAGTTAACTTATGGTAAACTTGCTATTTAATGTTATACAATTGAGTATTATTTCCTTTTCTGAACATTTCAATTCGTCCTTGTCACAGAATACTCAAGTGTTATGTCTCGACTATGATGAATCAGTTGTTCATAATTATACAAACTTATGAGCAATACCAATGCAGTTCGAAAACTGCGCAACAATAACCTTGTTTCAGCAACGCAAATGGAATTTTATTTGTGGACAGACAGACTGCCATGGACGGTCGTGTGGATAATGATTCGAGGTTCTTAAAACATATATTCACTCCTCTATGAAAAACTCCGTTAACCCCACTGGTGAACTGTTTAAATAATAAATACTGTATAGATTTATATTTGTCATCACATAATTTTTTCATATTAAGTTTTTCTTATAATAAAAAACTTGAACATAGAAATATTTTTTTTTATAATTAAAAAATTATAACAAATGGTATAGCTAAAGATAATATTGAAAAGTTGCATAATTTAATCTGGAAGTGTATTTTAACTGTATGTAAGGAAATTAAAAAATTAATCGTTTTTAATAAGCTATCAACATAAATCATATTAATCGCATCTATTATTCAATTAATTATATATTATTGAAAAAAATTATAAAAATACTACTTCAGATGTAACTTAATAGCCGAAAAGTTTTATTAGTTGGACGCTAAGCATTAATATAATAATTATATTGGATGCACTGTATGTGATTTTGTGTATAATGAGTTGCGTATAATCTGCGCCGCAAAAAAAGGAATGTGAAAATTTCTGTGATACAGAACTGAGGGTATAGGCATAAAATATAATTATTTTATGCGTTTTTCTTATATTACGCTCATCATTAGTTAATGGTAAATATCAATATGATATACACTCAATTTAAGTTTCGTTTTTTAACTGTTGAACAAGTAAAAAAAAGTCTAGAGAAGAAAACTGGAAAAACTCATTGTAGGTCTAATTTTTTTTAATATTTCTTAAGGATTAACTTTATTATGCCAAAATATTTAATTAGCATACAATATTTTGATATTTTATTATTATACAATTTTTAAAAAAAAAAAACAAACAAAATCAACACAATATTGTATATCACATATTTTTTTTAATAATATTAATTAAATTAATAAAAATGTATATAAATAATTGAAGTAATTATCACCACGCCAATAATATATTCCCGGTAAAGATAAAACGTTATTAAGGGAATTATGAATAATGTTTAGTTGTTAAACTAAATATTATTTATATGCTGTCCCTTGAAAACATAAAATAAAAATTATTTGTTGTTTTCAAAGGGATTGAATAATAAATAATGATACTCATCATTCTTTTATGTACTTACCTGCGATAATCCCTATATGAACTTATATTTATCACAGAATTGATGCACAGAAAACCCATTGATTTAAATTCATAGAAATTAATTATAATTTTATTGCTAGAGAATAAAAATGTTTTAATCGTGTATTATTTTAACAGTGACTTATCTTAATTAATAATGTAACAAAAACAAGCTAAATTCTTGTCTATTGTAAAAGAACCTGTTTTGCTGGAATTTCATCATATAGTCGTCTAATTATACGCATTTAACGCATGAATAAACTATAACAAAGTAATAAAAATTAAAAACTTCTTATATTTTAATTTTTGTTTTATCATACATTACCAGGCAGATTTAAAGTAATACAGTCATATTGAAAATCAATATTATTTATTGACGTTCTATCAAAAATTCGAATCGAATAATATTAGTTCTAGACAGCTGACTTGTAAATCATATATAACCACTTACAAAATGACATACAATATGAAACTTTTGTCAAGGATAAGAAAACAATCAACACACAATTGACAAATTCATTTCATCTTTTAGTAAATATTCTCTTTTATAATAATCTAGTTATTATTAATTATTAAGATCATTCAACTTGTTAGTATCAAAAGTGTAATTGGTATTACAAGTGTTTTTAATCAATAATAAACGTCATAATTTCTGCGTAAATAAATATTTTTGTTTTGCCAATAGAATTGTTATTGCTGGTTCATACATGTCTTTGTACTGTAAAATGTTAATTTATATTAAATACGTTGTGTCAATAAAATAATAAATATGTCATTCGCCCACAAATATGTTTAACTCTAACATTAAATATTAATATAAATACATTAATGTGTTATTTGTAAGCAAGTAATGGATCAAATTATAGATCGTTATTATACTATAGTTCGTTTGTCTATTCTTAAATTTTGTAATAAACATATTAATAAATTGCATATTGTTCATTTACATGTAATATTAAACAGCAATAGTACATTTCATTTTTCTTTAGATAAAAAGCACGTGGAACTAATCGAATTTCTGCAACTAAATTTCAAAATAACTCCCGAGGTAATAATAATATATTATTACAATACATATTACATGATTTTAGCTTAGATGCGAAGCTGAGAAGGTAATAATTTTACTATGATGTGTTTTTTTTATCATTATTGTTAAATTACATTTAGTAAAGTGACCTTGTCATATTGTTGTTTTTCGTTAAAAATTATATGATGGTTAAATTTAATCTGTTTTCGAGAATTTTAATAAACTTTCAATAGATTTAAAATTTACTAGGACTAACTACGTCAGAATTTTCTACTCATTAAACTTATATATGACCTCTTTTTCCAACTTCTGACGTCGATGATTTGTTTGTACACCATACTATAAAATTATGTTATGAAAAAAATACTGATAAAAATTAATAGTAGTATTTAACCAAATAGACATCCCAGATAAGATATTGTTACTGTATAAATAATATTGTAATACGACATGTTTATTAGTGGTTAGTAAGAAAACGATAAGCTATTTATTACAACATAAGTCTGAATAGTTATTTTATAAAGAATTAAAAGTAAAACCATAGACTTTAAATTAAAATAGATATACATAAATTTTATATCAACTGTTATTGATATTAAACTGAAGATGGTACGAATTGTTCTAAATCAGGTAAGTTTATTATTGGTTATGTTCAGTGTTTTATTATTATTACCAGGGACGTAATTTATACGATTTATTTTAGTTATCTCAAAAACATTAATAACAAATATATTCATGTATATGTTTTTTAACACCAAACAGTATAAATTAATTATAAATCTAGTTTTGGGGTCCTAGGGGATCAATTACCCTCAGACAAAAAAAAATATTCCTGTGGTACTGTATACTTATTTTTCACAAAGTTACAAAAGTCCCGAGTCCAGTTTATTTGGCAAGTTAGAGTTTCGATTTTCTTACTTAGTTCAAGATTTAAATTTATGTTGTGTAATTCAATAAAATATGTTCTATTTTGATTTAAAAAAGTTATGAAAAGAAATTAGATTCTAACGTTTTCTTTAAGTACATTATCGCTATTCAACATATTAAATAAGGAAATTTTCTTAAATAAAAAGTATGATCATTGTTTATTTAGATTTTAATTTTGATAATAATTCTAAGCCTGTCTAGATTTGTTCATTTGCTTTCGGTATAAATGACTATTAGATATCTTATTGTGTGTGATGATAATTTTTAACATAAATGATTATTATATTATTCTAATACCATATTGTTTTTTTACTAAACTATTGTAATTTTTATTTTAAATATTGAATTAAAAGGTGATAATAATGATATAACAAAAACATTTCTTTTTATGTGATAACTAACACTCGAAAGAAATTTTACTTTAAAAAGCACTAAATATGATAGCTTAATGCATGAAATTTTAATTCACTATAAACTTTTGTTTACAAAAGAATTTTATAGTTTTTAATTCTATTAAAAATAAAATAATTTATATTAACTTATTTTTATAACTAAAATTTCATAAAAAGAGACATTTTATGTAAAAAACAGTGATAAATGTATAGACACTATTTAAAATACTATTTAAAAATATATCACAAAATACATAACATATTGAAATGAGTAAAAGCCGGCCCGAAAGTATAGAATCACAGGTTTGGTGCTAAGGATATACCAGTCGAACCTCCGCTCTAGATTTATGACTACAACAAATAAATAAGTTTAGCAAAATTGGTCACATAAGCCTCGTGATTTAAGAGAGTAGATTCATGTAGGATTAATATTATTTTTCTGTAAACAATCAAGATAGACATTGTTTTACATGGCTATGTTATTTATATGTCAGAAAAATTGTATTTATTTTTCAGTAGGATTTAAAAATTATTTTTATCGAAATATTATTATTTATCTAATATATATTAAGACCGCATAATTAAATGAAATTCCATAATAATGAATTATGTTAATTAGTTGATTAAATGTTTTCATGGATTAAATTTATACACAGCTTTTATTGTTTATGATTTATTATAAAAATTTATTTAATTATAATAGAATTTATTTGAAATCAATTAATTGTTCGCATATTATTTTTAAAAATACGAACAATTTTTTTCTAAATGATTTTTTTGTCTATCTTAAAAATTAATCTTCATTTAATGGTTTGCTAAAAACATTTAAATTTCTATTAATGTATAATATAAGAATTATTCTAATTAAATATGTACCCCTTATAAATTTTGGACTTTCAATCAGGCACTTGATCAATTTATTTATGATTAATCGATCAATATTTACAATTTTTTTTTATTAATTTAACTTTGGATAGTGTTTAATTCAACTAGGAAAAAAAACGTATTATATTTTAACTACTAATTGTATAAAAAAAAGTTATTCGTGTATTGGTACCTAATATAAATAGACATAATGCTTTTAGTGGTTTATCTGTAGATTGTTGTTCGAGCACAACGACCTTGTTTCTTGTAAATTTCAAAACTGTTTTACAATAACACCTTCCTACTCTAGTCGTCTATACGGTCTAATTACTATAAGTGGTTTACTCAAAAACAGCATAATCATGTAACAGACAACCATTTAAATATTTACAAATATGCAAAGCCATGTCACGCTGTCCATCTTACAGTTATTAAGTATACGACAATGTAGGGGTCGTTTTACAAGTAGTACTTGTGAACGTTACGTCGTTGCTTACGACGACAATGCACTTCACCATTTCAGTGTTAGGGTAACGGTCTGGGGGAACACGGGCGGTCGACCGTCAGTATCTACAAGGCGTAATAAACTACATGGGCTATGAATTTTGATAAACACCAGTCTTCATTCAGTGACTGCTTTGCATTCCTTGTAGTGTGGTCGTATCTTTCTATGTAAAATTTGAGTTCGTTTTGTTATATTCCGCGAGCGCGTTTGCTTGTTTGCTGTTTTGTTATTGATTGCATTACTTTTGTCATTTTTTAGAGAAAGAAAATGCATTTTGTCAATGATGTGACCAAATTTTTCTATGGCGGTCTCAGTAATGAGACAAGCAGACTAAGGGTATGTTTTTCATTATTATTATATTGAATATTTTAATGATAAGAAAATGTTTTTACATTAATTAATTCTTCTCGTCGCCTAAAATATTTACTACATTTTTGTTGCTATCACTTGTCGTATTAAATACGAAATAAAACTGTAAACTATCCTATAAATATAATAAATGGTTTAAAACAAATTGTTCATTTATAAAACTCATATAATTTTCAAAAGACGCAAAAAAAGAACATTATTAAGTTCATGGAACTTTTCAGACAATTAATCAATATTTAAAAAAGCAGATAGTGATAAAATATAAAATACGATAGTTAAAAATTTTATGAGGATTGACATTTATTTATGTTTAAAATGCTATTAATTGTGTTAAAGATAATCAAAACTATTCAAATTATAGAAAAACCTTGAAAACATAACTAATATTGTAGTATTTAACAAGGGCATAGGTATAAATTGTGAAGGAGGGGGTTGAATACATAATCCCTACCCCATTACATTAAATCTAATTTAATTTTAAGTAAAAAAAATGTGTAATGAGGCGTATAAACTCTCAACTAGGGTCATAATGCATTTACGCGTATACCCTCTATATCTAACTTAAAATAAAATCCGATCGAAAAAATGTTAGTTTTTAAATACATTATAATTAATTAAATTCAATATTTAAAAAAATTTACATTTTAAAATAATAAATGGTTTTTAATTATGAAAAAAACCATTTTAATTATCAAATATGTCAATATTTTGTTATTCAAATTAGATATGATTTAACACAGCATCATTTTTTAATTCAAGGATTCAGCGGGTTAAATAAGAGGTATTATTTACAACATCGTGTTAAAGTTATTGTTATTTAGATGATTTCATGTTGAATATTAATATAACATGCAGACGATGGTATGCATATATAAATATATTTTATATTTGTAAAATGTATAAATAATACAAATAAACTAGAATTAATAAAGTACTTAAGGTTTGCCCAAACAAGTAGGTTAAAATTGTTAGCTGCTTACCTACCTACAACGTGACATTGATATATTTAGGTATTGATAATTAGCCAAAACTTAACGAACTTTTGCGTAATAATAAATAATCATTTAACTAATTTAAGTGTTACATAGTAAATAAAGTGTAAGACAAAGATACCAAACTATTTGAAAAAATTGGCTAAATAAATTAAGTTAAGTTTTGCAATATCTATATTAAGAGGTATTTAAAATTTAAGATAACCGAATAAAATTTGTTGAAAAAATTCTTTCGTATGTCTTTAGGTTCAATTAATTTTTAAATAACTATAAAAAAGAAAAAAATCGGTTAAAAATGGTTTAATATCTTTGCTTGTAAAATACTACCCAATAAATTACACTAATTTGTTCTCAATAACTGAGACTATTCCATGTAAAAATATAATTAAAAGTATATATATTTTTAGAATCTTTAACAATCAAAGATGATGAATTAACCCATGTCAATCATTTAAATAGATATTTAATTAGATGAACACACTAAAAAATTGTAGACTATTACATTAACTCAGGAATGATGCTAGTAATTCATAATTTTTTTTTTATCATACGTTTAAAACAAAAATTGTATAATTAGGTTATCAGAAGTCAAAATATATATTTATATCATTGAAATAAATTTATGTATACATTTTATTTTTATCATTACTTCTTTTAGTAAATTATGTAATGTGTCTTTACGAGAAATTAATTATCATTTTTTATACGTTCAATTGTTAATTAATTGTTAATATAGTCAAAAATATGGTAATTTATTACTTCTATAAAAAAATTGATAGTGTTTTAGTTCGAATTTTTAATATGAATGTAAATTAAAATTATTAACTTAACTAATTATTAAAAATTATAGTGACTTGGTAAATAATTATCATAACTCATTCGTATTATATTAACTTATTAAATAAATTTACATCATTTTATATTCATGAACTAATACCAATCATATACGATTCAATTGTTTAATCATAGACGAAAATAAAACAAAATTTTGAAAAGAGTGAGATATATTACCCCCCTCTAGATTTTTTTACTGAACATAAAATACAAATTTTAAATATTTGGTAGACTAGCCCCTCTTCACCGATTTTCGCCTATGTGTATAAAAATACAAGNTGAAAAGAGTGAGATATATTACCCCCCTCTAGATTTTTTTACTGAACATAAAATACAAATTTTAAATATTTGGTAGACTAGCCACTCTTCACCGATTTTCGCCTATGTGTATAAAAATACAAGTTTTTTTTATATAAATTTAAGTCAGATGGTAAATTTTGAAAGCTGTTTTTTATAATGTCAATGAATAATATCATGAAGTAACGTTTATGTTTTAGCTATTTTTTTAAATGTTTTAGAGTACATACTCATTTTTGAACTGAGATGGTAATTATTTTAAATATATCAAGTCATACAGTTATTTTCATTATAATAGTAAAAAACAGTTTTGTTTTTTCCTGTAAAAACGTTTTGTGATGCTCTATACATATGTGGGTTGAATTTACTTTATTTTTATCTATTGAATAGAAAACATTTGAAATAACATCAACACCATGCCCTTCAATTTTTTTTGTTTTGACTAGCATATAATGTTGATAAATTTAGTTTTATATGTCAATAAGAACTTTAAGCTTTTGAGCTCAAATAATTTAAACTCATTCAGAAAATTTTATCTAAAATAATATTTAATGAGGTTACGGTGATTTTGGCTGTGTTATTATTTCATTATATTTATTGAAAGTTCTTTGACTTATATATTATGTAGATTGTCGACGCAAGCTTTAATACTCTTCAGACAGCATAAACCAGTACTTCAAATATGTCGGTAAACAATATGTTGAGCTTAATATTTTGAATTAATTTTTTTTTTTTATTGAACACTTAAACCTTCATCTGACTTTTATTTTTCATAAAATATTTTTACTTATTCATATAAAAATATTAATTATTCCTATGGCATTGACATATCAATAGGTGAAATAGCTATTAGTGTACATGAAATTCTCTGTAATTAATTATCTTAGTAACCGCTAAGAAATACATGTATTATTTATAAGTATCTATGTATAGTCTGATTGTTTAACTATGGCTAACGCAATAATCAATGAATGTTTGTGCGGTTCATAAATGTCTAGAGATAAAAATAAACAGATCCGCGCTTCATCTCCAGTCATAGTATTGTAGTGTGAATAACTTCCAAAATACTGGTTTAAAAATTATTGACGACTGGTCATTTTCTCATATCATTTTCTTTTTTTTGTTTGTTTAAACCTACATATATATATATATAACTAATTCCATTTAAAAAACTGAAGTAGGATATTATTAATACCATTAATTTCTGAAGAAAAAAAAATTATATTATGTTTTATATTTTAAAGATATTGCGTGTGTCATGGTTAAAAAACAATCATTCTGTATATTCACTAATGATTTACATTAAATCATAATTTTTAATTTACGTTAATTTTCCAATTATTTAAAATCCGTAATAGTATATTAATCGAATAAAACACAGTATT